ACGATTTAATATAGAAATAAATGTCGAGAATCAAAATTTTTTCAAAAGAGATTATTTTAACTTTTAAGTTAATTAAAAAAATATTTTTAAATTTTTAAATAAAACAATTTTATAATCGATAGTTTTCTCAAAATTTCTACGAGAATTATCAAACATTTTTTTCGTATAGATACATTTTGAGCCATTATAAATATTATTCTAATATTTGAATATAAATGGAAGTCGACCGTTTTCGATAGAGTGATCATTACTTTAATTGTTACTTATGCGTATAGGTACATGTATTAAGAACACTTGTTTACATGTTATCTCATCAATCGTTATGTATAATTTTTAAATAAGTCTCGTAAAACCAATTAATAAATGTCAATTCTTTCATTTTATGTGTAATTATTAGACGTAAAATCTGTATTCTTTAATAGACAAAGATTACGATATATAAAAACGTATTATAATTACGTATATATTCCGTACAGTCACATGTGATGTCACGTCTACAAAGTTACCGAGTTACCGAGTATTCTTACACATTGTGCACTATTGCTTTCATCAACCGATGCACATGACAGTTAAATATAAAATAAAGAAAAGATGCAAAATTTAAGAAAATGTTCGAATCGACATTATTTTATACCATACAAAATAATAAATTTGTCATCGAGACATGATATTGTCTTTAAACATGGAATTAATACAATTTTTAACCTCAGATATATAAATGCTAATGGGAATATTAAATTGAGAAGATTACCAGTTTTAGAAAGACATCATGTAAGTATCGTTATAATTTTCTATTAAACAATAAAATAATATAAATAATGAAAGTAACTTTGATTTTAGATAGTAAATAAAGCGCATAAAAAATGTGGCATAATACAATCGACACTGCTAGATTATTTTAATAATCAATGTAAATTATTAAGCTACAGAAATTTTAGTACAAGTTCTTCACATAATAAAGAAGAGGATAATAACAAATCGTCAAAAAATAATGACTCAGATCCTGTAAAATACATAATACTGAGTATTTTGAAAATTGGTACAGTACTAGGATTTCTATATTTTATTGGAAAACATTTTCTATTGATTCCCAAAGAAGTTAGTATTAAATACTTTACTAATAAATACTTTACTAAACATATTTTATTTAAAATATATATTTCTTGTTTTTATATCGCTTAAAAAATAGATAACACTAATCATAAATACTTTATAAAAATATAAATAGTCCACAGCAAATGTTTCTTGGCAAGAATTTGTACAAGAAATGTTAGCAAAAGGGGAAGTGGAGGAGCTTATAGTGTACCCATCAACTAATATGGTAAAAATAAACCTTTATCCAGAAGCAATTATTAAAGGACAAAAATTACTCTTCCGTACATATAATATGCATATTCCAAATATTGACCAAATAGAAGAAAAATTAAGGAAAGAGGAGAGAAAGCTGGGTATAAAAAAAGGTAAGATATATAAATTCATACCTAATTTATCAATAATGATTTCAATTATGCGTACATACTTAATATAATTTACTTAGCGAATATTAATTTTACATATGTTTTTAAGAAAATGAAATATCAGTGATTTATAATCGAAATTCAGAACGCATAATGCAAATATTGAGATTCATGAGTCTTATTCTCTTTCTATATGCGTTATTCAGTAAAACGTCTGTTATTACTAATTTTAAACCATTTATGAGTAAATTGAAAAGTGCAAATTTTACATTGGTCGAACCATCAATGAAACATGGCAAAGGTGTACGCTTTGAGGACGTTGCAGGTTTAAAAGAAGCTAAAATAGAAGTTATGGAATTTGTGGACTATTTAAAACAACCTGAACGATATCAAACTCTTGGAGCTAAAGTACCTAAAGGTAAATATTTAAAATTTTGCTTATAATATATATATATAATATATATATATATATTATAAGCAAATATATATTATAATATAAGCTTATATATATATTATAATATAAGCTTATATATATATTATAAGCTTATAATATATATATATATATATATATATATATATATATATATATATATATATATGTACATGTAACGTAATAAGAAGAAATGAATACATTTGTAAATCAAAACTTTCACTGATCCAAATTATTTTCAGGTGCTTTATTGTTAGGACCACCAGGCTGTGGTAAAACACTATTAGCAAAAGCAGTTGCAACAGAGGCAAATGTACCATTTTTATCTATGAATGGATCTGAATTTATCGAAGTACTTGGTGGATTAGGTGCTGCGCGTGTCAGAGATTTATTTAAAGAAGGAAAGAAAAGGTATAACTAATTATAATAAATGTCATATATAAGATCATATTTGTGAATACTACACAAAACAGAACACTATCATTTGCTAACATTTTATATAAGTTTCATAATATAATTTATTCATATTTTCATTATAATAATATTCTCGAATATTTTTACAGAGCACCTAGTATCATATATATTGATGAAATCGATGCAATTGGTAGAAAACGTTCAGAATCTTCAGTTCATTCTGCTAATGATGAATCTGAACGTACTCTAAATCAGCTTTTAGTAGAAATGGATGGAATGATATCGAAAGAGAATATCATTGTTTTAGCCTCCACCAATAGAGCAGAAGTATTAGATAAAGCACTGCTTAGACCTGGTAGATTTGATAGGCACATTTTAATAGATTTACCTACATTGGAAGAAAGAAAACAAATCTTCGAATATCATTTAAAAAAGATTGCTTTGCAAGAAGATGCTTCTAAATATTCTCATTATTTATCCTATCTAACACCTGGGTTTACTGGTATGGTATATGTTTTTATAATTCATTCTTACATATTTAATATATAGAGATACATTTTTTAATAATCATTTATCTATTAAATTTTATAATAATGTCTATGCACATAATAAACTGACAGGTGCTGACATTGCAAATGTATCTAATGAAGCTGCATTACATGCTGCGAGACACAAAAAAAAGATCGTTGAAGGTTCTGACCTTATGTACGCAATAGATAGGACAATAGGCGGTACAAAAAAAATAACTAGTACAGTAACACCATCCATGAAACGTGTTATTGCTTATCATGAAGCTGGACATGCATTAGTAGGATGGTTATTAAAATATACCGATGCTCTTCTTAAAGTGACTATTGTACCTAGAACTAATTTAAGTTTAGGTTTTGCTCAATACACCGAAAGTGATCACAAACTTCAAAGTAAAGAAGAACTTCATGAAAAAATGTGTATGATGTTAGGTGGTCGTGCAGCAGAAAATCTAATTTTTAATCAAATAACAACTGGAGCTCAAAATGATCTAGAAAAAGTAACAAAACTTGCATATCTTCAAATACAGCAGTATGGAATGTGTCCTACTTTGGGTTTATTGTCCTTTGATGAAGAATCGACTAGTCAAGTATATACGTATACATATATATATATTCAGCTCCAAACATATCTTTCAAAATAATTAATTTTAGATTATTATATATTTCTATAATATTCTTATCGTTTATTTATCTCTTACAGAGAACTAAGAAACCATATAGTAAACAATTAGGAAATCTAATGGATGCTGAAGCGCGACGATTAATAGCAGAAGCATATGAAAAAGCACAACAAATAATAGTTGATAATAGAGACAAATTGGAGAAGGTAAAGCTTTCATAAGTTTCTTCTTATTAATGCAATTTATGATATATAATAAAATAATCTATTATATGATTATTCAGATAGCTGAAGCTTTGATAGAAAAGGAAACATTAAATTATGATGATGTAGAAAAGTTAATTGGTCCACCACCGTATGAGAAAAAAAATCTTGTTGAATTAGCTGAATTTGTTATATCTAATCAAATTGACGAATCAAATACTGTAAATCCAACATCAACATAATATAAATTGTAACATTGTTATAAATACTCATGTATTGTGTTAAAAACAATAAAATATACGTTTAGTAAACTATAATAAAATTAATAAATAATTAATACGGTTTTTCATTAAAATAATGTAAGGAAATAGTCAACATTTTTGTCAGTATTTCTTGTCTTCATTACAAAGTAAAAAGAATAATTATATTTCTATAAATGATGATTACATTGTTGTAATTATTATCAGTATTGTAAACATGTTTCACATAACATAAATTTAAATTTACAATTTTAACAGATTCAAAAACTTAAAAAATTATTAGGGTACAATAACTTTATGTGAACAATATAAAATACATTCCAAATTTTTTATCGCACTTTAATTTTTTTTTAATTGATGAAAAATATAAATACACGTTGAATTTGTACAATACATGTACAATACACTATATATTATTTCAGTAACTAAAATATATTTTGTGTTATAAATCAAAATCACATTACCTTGTACTTCAATAAATTTACATTATCTAATAACAAATTAGAAGAAAGTACTGTTGAACATACAAAGACACAAGAATGCGCATATAGAATTTCTTATATGCCCTATTTAGTTATTTTGTTACATAAGATTAAAAAAAGTGTTTATGAGTAATTACATTATATATGTAACTACAATATTTCTCTTAATAAAGCATTTCTTTATCCTATGTCGTATTCAAGACCCCAGTATGACCTATTGTAAAGATACTTATTGCACCAATTTATAACATGTAAATTGTGGAGAATAATAGAATAAGTAACGATTACTATTAAACAGTAGTCATTAGAATTTTTTAAATAATATCCTTCAAATATATTACAAATTCTTCAATAACACAGAAGTACAACATACATTTGCATATCAGTTATATTATTATAATCTATTCAACATTTCATATTTTCAATTCTTACACTATTGCAGTAACTGATTAATCAGTAATGATAAAACTGGGGTCTTTAAAGACAAAGGTGCAATTATACATAATAAAAAAAAATGGAAGTAAAACATTCATTCATATTAAAACGATTTATAAACGCGAGGAAGAACGGTAACGGTATATTTCTATGTGACAGTATTGTTCTCTTTTTTTTTTCACATATAAACAATATACTTGAATCAGGGTACCAGTGACAGTTAAGCGTCTATACAATCGGCGCTGTAAATACTAGGAACAATTACTTATCGTTGGCTCGAAGTTGTTAACCGATAAGGACAATTTTGATTTGTGCTTCATATTAGTCCTCAAGCATTCTTCGAGAGTCTATCACATTTAAACATATATGCTATTTATTCCTTAATAATCAAGTCTTGAATAGCGCCGTTAAGAATTTGCTCCAAATGTATTCCATCCCAATATATATATCCACAGTGTTCACAGACGTAAAATAACAATATTTTTCTCAATATGTTCAATGGAACTTTATTAATTTGTACTCGCATATGATATTTAGTTGTACACGTTTTAACATCTAAAGTACCCGTACTAAGATGCCATGTACGGTTTTGGTTTTGTTTAGTAAAATGATCCTTAAAATAAATTTTATTGACCTCTTCAAGATCTTCGGCGTATTGACTTGCAGGCAAAAGCTGATCAAGTTCATTATTGTGAAATTCATGCTTTGTTATATTTATAAAACTAAAAATTAAAAATAATTTTTTTTATTGATAATTCAATAATTTTTAATATGTTAATTTTTAATATTATGAAAATAAATGTATAGTTATTTTTATTAACTTATATATACAAACCTTCTAACAAGTTCATCCATTAAAGTTTTTGGAACTTCAACAAATTCATCAAAATTGCAAAATTGACATCGACTTAATATATCCTTTTGTGTAACAATCACAGAAAAATGACTTAAAACTTCACGCAATTGTTCGTTAGGTGTACTTGAAATAACTTTATAACAATTTTCTAATGGCAGATACTGTGTAAACTGCAAATTATTAATTAAACTATAAATATTATAAATAATTTATATAAAATATTATCAACATAAGATCTTACTCTTTGTGTAAGTAGAATTCTATTTTCATGCACTGCTAATTTAGCAGATTGTTCTCCTCCTTTATCAAATAATACATATAAGCAATCACATCCACACATACGTAATTTGCTTGCTAAACCTCCCAACATTGAATCACATACAGCACGCCAACTGTGCGCTGGTATAGGGCCAGAAGGATTTTGTGGATATAATTGATATTGCTTTTGTTTATTTTCTTGCTTAGTGAAATTTTTACGGTTTGAAGAATTGTGATATGTTTGTAGAACTTTCTTAAATTGTTTTGAATTACTACCATTTTGGAAATTATTTTTCTCGCTAGTTAATGTTGATTGCATTTTTGCATTTGACTATTAACAATTTAAACGTATGACTAAACAATTCTCTTATATTGTTAATAATTCTATATTTTGCTAGTTTTATATACCTACTCTATCTAGATATTTTTTTGGAGTTTTTTTGAAATGTCTATGTGGAATGTGTTGTATCTCTGCACAAATATCTTGAAATGGTATATCTGTATGTTCACATTCTTGAGCTAAAGTTGTATATATCTCCAAAAGACAATAAGCATCCAATGCTGTCATTATACACATTGTTAATATTATAACAAGTGTGATTCAAAAAAGTAATATAAGAAAATTAATTGAAGAAGGCGTATTACTAACCAGCATATATTATTTGACTTTCCCTTAGTGGTCGTTGTTCCCAATTGGAAAACTGATCTGATTTATTCAATCTTGATCCAAGGCATAATTCAACCAACTTGCTCAAACTTTCACTTGTAAAATTTTGATCACCTTTATAAGGAAATTGGAAATTGTATCCTTCTACTAGCTTCCTCCATAAAAATAATACGTCTATACAACCCTGTCCATTAACTTTAATATTTGAAATAGCTGGTATATAATCGCGTATCATCAATATGTCGTTGGCTATTCCAAAACCTACAACAAAAACATATTTCGTATATATATTATATTGTATATAATTTCAAATACTAATTTGTTTTCTTATTAACTGTTGTAAACATGATCACAGAAAGTAAGAGACATATATAATTATCACTAGGAAAAGGGTCGTTTCATTATAACTTTTGATGGAAATGTAATTTTTCAATTCTGTTTGATGTTCTGCACGAATCACGATATTTTCCAAGTATTTATGTGTAACCTTTGATTTTGATTATAATAAAAAATTGACTTATCTAAACATAAACAAATGTTATACACATTTTGTGCACCAATGTGGAAAATGTTATCTAATATTTCAGACTGATTGTTTGAACATTTTCAAAATGGCGCTCATTTGAGTATAAATATTTTTATGTTGAAAATTAATGGAATGGCCAAACCAATTTCATTCAAATTTTACATATAATTTTTATGTGGAATGTACAAATTTTTTGATGCTATTAAATATGGGTACTCAAAGCAATCAAGCCAATACATAAAACTGAAATAAGTGAAACGAGTGTAGCTACTATGTAGAGTTTATAGAAAGATAACTTTAAAAAGAAAGGCGACCCGCTACCTCGGTCGTCAATATTGCAATTGAAATTGATGAGGACCGAAGCTATCCGACTAGATATATTACTTTAAAAGTATAATACAAGTAGCATCAATAAACATATTCATTATTAATTGTATATGTACACTTTGATTATGTTGTATATCAAGTATAAACAAAACAAGAATTAGTATTCTTACCAAGTTTTAAGATATGTTTATTTTCGAATAATAGTAAGTTGAATTCTGACCAAAGATGTTCATGCTGATTTCCTATAGTAATAACATCTAGTATATACACATTTGTCTCTGTTGCTATTTGTATTAGAGCCAATTGGGTCTTTTTAGTACCTAAAAAAATATTTCTTTAAAAATAATTTTAAATAGATTTATATGTTTCTGTATATCTTGAAACAAAAAATGCATTTATATACCAAAAGTTGGTTTCCACTCAGAATCAATACCAACAATTTGAATTCCTCTTAAACCATTATCAAGAAATTCTTCAAACAATCTCGGACTATCTATAAGCTTAATGGTATCTCTAGGTAATTTTAAAGTATGATAACATATTGAACTATCTTCGTGATTCCAATTTTCCTCTTTGCTAGTAGAAGCGCCCACATTTATTTCTAAATATTAAAATGTAATATGTTACAGGCACAGATGTAACAATTAATTAATTAATTAATTAATTAATTAATTACATAATAACATTAAAACTTCAAATACTTTACCATCAGAATATTGTTCTGCTTGAAAAGAGATTGCCCATGGCCATTGTTCTTTAGGAATATTAAATGTTTTAGCCCAATATAAGCCTTCTTTTGTCTCACCTACCATAGATAATGATTTGACAGTTTCTAACTGTAATTGTATGTCATGTCCTACAGCTTCTCTTATCATTTCTCTCCAACTTTCAGTATCTACATATTAAACATATATTCGCATAAAATATATGTTATACATAACTCCGGAGAGTTATTTAGAAGTTACTAGTTAGTTACAAATAAACTAAAAAATAAAAGATACTACAGATATTAACTTACTTAAACTTCCGTCACCATATCGCTTATGAATAAGAAATTGTAATGCACCTTCATTCCGTCTTCGATTTAAGTTCGGACACAATTCTGGTGGAAGATTATATAGCTTAGCAAAACGCGCTATTAATTTTGTCATTGGTCGTATTTGTATTGTTCCAATTTTTACATCTGGTATATTATTTGTTCTACAATTATTTATACATTGAATACCAAATCATGTATAGATTAATATGTATAGCAGCAATAATAGACAACCAGTCAATTTCATGCCAGTAAAATGCCCTTTCTGTTAATTCTATCATATAGAAGAAAAAAAAAAAAATATATATATAAATATATACTAGAAATGTTCATATGTTTTTGAAATGTAACAATCGATCTAGAAATATATTTAGTGGCACAATCTATAAAAATTAGCTGTAAGCTAACTATGAGCTACATGTGATTTTCAATTCACATAAATATTGCTTTTTCAATATGCATGACTCTTTAACTAAGATTACAAATTGAGAGCCATGCCTTTCTGAGCATGCGAAAACTATCGCTTACTTGTCCGTAATACTTGTCATGAAATTGATTGGTACACTATTATTAACTACTATACATAAAAATGATATAAACTTACTCGATATATTGTTCTAATTTATTATCCATATTTTTTCCTAGTGCCACTAAATTATCCAAGTACGTTACCAATATTTTCTGTATATTTGGATATTCAAATAAAAAATCTTCTACGACTGCTAATTTATTTTGTAAGATAAGAGGCAGTAATAATATTTCCGGATCGGTATAACACATTTGCAATCTTAACATAGTTGCATATTGTGCTGCTTCTTTATACCTTTTTTCATTGATTATGTTCTAAAAAGATGGATGATACATTTTATTCATAAATCATTCGTAAAAACCTGAAAAATTTTATTTATAAATCATTTGCGTACCTGAATCATTTGCAAAAACAATTCTTTATGTTCAATAAAATCATATGTAACTGAGACCATTTTAATTAGTTGCATATTTTTTTGACGATTGAGCAATTTAAAAGCTGCTATTTTGAGATCAGGAACCAAACATTCTTTATAGCTATCCTTTCGAGGTACTAACCAATTTGAAAATTCTTCTATAACTACGATTTAATAGATGCATCAACCTTCTTTTAAAATAAAGATACCAGAAGTAGTATAGTTTTAAATATATCCATACATATATATATATGTACATATATACATATATACATATATACATATATGTATATATATAAATTTCAGTTTTATCAATAAGATAAAAAATATATATAAATTTAAACAAAATTGAAATTCATTAACGTCAGTCGCTGTAGAAATAATAATTATGTTAAACATACAAACCTGTAAAGGCAAGAGATGATCCTACTTTTGCATGTTTAAAATCTATCGTATTTACTAGGATCCTCAAAGTACTTAGATAAGGATTTGGAGCAGTATCAAAATAATCAAATAATGTTTTGGTAACTCCTTCACATTTCTTCCCTAAAAATGTCCACTTTACAGAAAGAAACTAAATATATAATGAACATTTTAATTTATTATGCTTACATAATTTCCACATATCATGCAAAGTATTTAACCATATTTTTGTAGCTTCATCTATATTTGTAAAGAACAATAGATCTTCTTCAATATCTTTTTGATAAAGTGCCATGTGATGGCTAGATCCGTTTTCGATGCCTACCATCGCCTGCGCCATGATTCTTATACTGCAATATCGCCTCGTGACATGCGCTACTATTTTTTATTTTACGTTTCTAAAACGAACAAAAACTCGTATTAACAGAACCCAAATAATTCACTTTAACCTATACCCAATATTGTCTTTATTGAAAGAAAAAAGTTCCTCCGTGACCTTAATTTATCATTTCCTTGTTTATTGTGTTCAAAAATTACACAAATCATAATCTAGATATTTTATTCTCAAATTACTGGATCGGGATTGGTTGTATTATATTCCCTATTTAAGGAGAAACAAGACCTCAAGTTTGGTCATCAGCGATGACCAAAGCGCCATTTAGTTAGGAAATTCAAAAGATTCCATCATTAAATAACAAATATACACCAGAACAATATATACACCAGAGCGTTACATGGGAACGTCTAACGTTATAATTGATATTAATATTATATTGTGTATTAAATAACAAGTTATATATCATAAAACAACTGGTTATGTGATTGTTCGAATTTCGTTACAATCCCCAATATTTTATTGATATTTTCTTGTAATATTTTAAAGCGTGTATTAAAATTGAACGATATTCTTCAGTTGCTTTCATTATTGCGAATTAAAAATTTTTCTGTGAATCGTTCGCACTTTCCACTAAGTTTGAATAAAATACTAAAATGGGCACGACAGCTTTGATTAACGTTCGTGATTTGTTGGCATTAAAAAATCCCTAGGACGAACACATGAGCATAGCTTCGACCGAAAGTAATTTAACACGAATACGCCCAGGCCCAAACAAAAGAAGTAAAGGACCAGCACTTTCTTGTTTCCTGCGTTTTTATTGTTTCCTGCGTTTTCTTGTTTTCTGCGTTTTCTTGATTCCTGCGTTTTCTTCTTGTCTGGGTTTTCTTGTTTTCTTCTTTTCTTCGTGGATCTCGACCGGAGCGGACGTGTTTCAAGTGCTCTTAGGAATCAAACGTATTTCATTACATTTTTGCTGTATCTTTGTTGTATCATTGATAAATAAACATTTTCTCGTGGAACATTGTATCGTGCATGTTTGCTTTGAACGTGCCTGAGAAAATATTTTGCGATAGGAAATTGGACAAACCACGCGGACGTAGTTACGTTCAAACACGGTAAGGATTTAATAAAATTTTACAAGTTCACGCCTCGTGGGAACGCGGCATAATACTAATGAGATTTGATGATAAAAGACATACATGTAGTAGTACTATACTGCCAGTACTCGTATATTGCCAGTCTCCGTAAGTGAAGAAGGGTCAGCGAGAAAATGAGAGAGAAAAAGTTTCTACGTATTTTAGCACGTGAATTAGCATCCATGGTGTCTTTTATCGAGAGTATTGTTGCGCATGCGTATACAGTGTGTGTCTGTACCGTAATATTTTCGGCATTTTCCCAACTCAATTGGCAATATAGTTCTATTACATATATGAACAAATACAAAGCTCTTCTTCTGTTTTCATCCGTATCGTTTCTCCTTGTCTTCTTTCTACGCTGCAATTATATCACCACCAGTTTGTAATACTCGCATTTGTTTTTATTTCATTCTTTATTTAGTCGAAGCATCACCCTCTGCAAGTTTGTTAGTTTTGTCTGGCAAGTGATTTAAAAAAAAAAAAATGTCAAGGAAAGGAATGTTGACAAGAGGTAAGAGGAACAGAGGCAATGCAAAGAATCTGAAGAATTATTGGAAGAGGATGAGAGAAGAGGGTCTTCTTCGTAAAAAGAAAATTGAAAATGTACCCAGTACGTCGGACACACAAACTGTAAATGTACAGAATTCAAGTACGGAATCTGTACAAGTAAATGAAGATATTTATGATTCTTCTCCATTATCTCCTCTGCATACGGAACGCGTATCGAATGTAAATAGAAACGGAAGTTCATTTCAATTGTCAGGCCGTCGAATAGTCGACATTTCATATTTTATGAACAGTATCCTTTCAATTGGAGCACACGTACCTTTTTATTGTACGATCGCAGATATGTATCCAATTTCAGAAGCCCGCAACGGCTTTGTTAGTATCATAAAATTAAAATGCCGTATATGCGGTTTAATTAAACAAGTTAAAACTGATGATACATCAGAAAAAAATGCGAATATCAACGCCGATATGGTATCCGGAGTGATATCTACGAGTGGCGGATATTCGCAATTAAAAAAAATTTGTACCGCGATAAATTTGCCAAGCTTGTCAAATAACACATGGGCAAAATATCGTGGTATTATATTGGAAACTTCTCAAGTAGAAGACAACGATTGCTCGTCTTAATGGACAAGAAGTTGATCGCAGTGGTATTCCTTGTATTATATAAAAAGATATAATATATAAAAAGATATTCTTAATAGACACCGTACTGTTTTTGACCACTGTACGAAGTGTAAAGATAGAGCGAGTATTACTATAATGGTAAAGTAAAACTTGGCGAGATGAAACGCGTATCAATATTTTTCACGATATTGAATTAGGAATGCACATCATGCCCAGTTTGATATGGGACTTAGATAATAATGTGGTCAAATTATATAATTAATATGTGGGAAAATTCATTGATGGCAAAAGAGTTTAATTTGTCTTACATGGCTTGTATCAAACTCGATGCTACGTGGTAAAAGTCAATGAAAAATTGTCAAGTAAAGATATGGGCATCTTTACTTTACAATATGTGAATAAATAAAATTGAATTTGCGATTCGCGAAAGGAAAATAAAAATCTTTCATAAATAAATTTCAATATAATTCAAACTGTTGACTGCGATTATGGACCAAAAATGCAGCTTGTCTTTAGGCACCCATTTTATGCTCTAAGAACTTGACATATGTTAAAGAACAATTTTTAGATTTGTTGAAAAATTAAGATCCCTTGAAAATCGAACCTGAAATTCCATAGACAAATTATGCCGTTTTAATGAATTGAGCAGCGTCGGAAACAATTGAATAATTGTTTTCGATGTTTCGAACAATATATAAAAAAAAAACAATGTACATAAAAATTAATAGTTAAATCGGTACCGTTGCTTTAAGAAAAATAATAATACCAGGTGGAGAATTGAAAAAAAAAACCCATTGGCAATTAGACGATTTTCCACTGACTACGGGTTCGATGTTTGAGGCAATGGTCTAATAATTCATAAAAAAAAAAAAAAAAAAAAAATCGTTCTTTGCGGCTTCTCTCGGCGACACTAATTCATGTTGATATATTCATCGGAGTCAAATGCCTAGTTTCAGTGATGGATACGACCAATAGAACGTAAAAGGATTCATGCATCTCCAAAATAACGTACCAAAATTAAAAAACGCAAAGTCTTTTATAAGTCAGTTTAAAATAGTAATGTTATTGTATTAAGGTATCAAAAAGGAATGGTTGTCGATAAAGCCGAAAGGAATAACTGTTTTTGGTAAAGAAAAAATTGAAAAAAAGGCTTATATTTTTTTTTTCGTTACGAGTGCTTTCTGCCCAAAATCGCTGATTCTCATAAAGCTCATAATCTTCTGATTCGAGAATCTACGCGTACTTTTAGAAGCACAATGAGCTTATGATTATCAATTATAGGTTTTCAAATAGTGATATGTTAACATTGACTCTACTGTTTTAACGTAGAATGTATGTACATAATGAACATAATATTTAAGTGTGTTTTTATTTATATTATTTACTTTTATTATTTATTTATTATTATTAATATTATTAATATTATTATTATTATTATTATTATTAATATTATTATTAATATTATTATTAATATTATTATTATTGTTATTATTATTAGTTTAATAGTAGTAGTAGTAGCAGTATTAATGATAGTAGTAATATAGAGTGGACTAGTCCTACAGGGGAAACCACTTAAAAAAAAAAAAGCGCCGAGAGTTCTACCTCATAGGTAGTGTGGAAACGAACTCATGTTTTAATTTTTATTAAAATAATATATAATATATAAATATTCATTAATTATTATTTTTGATAAAATAATCAATAAAATCTTGTCTTTTTCATTAGTCATTATATATTAGTTATTATATATTACTTATTATTCTGTATGCATTTGTCGTCAAACAAAATTGTATCGACGCTGTATTTAGTGCGAGGCGCACGTTACCATTAAAGAACATAAATGTGAAAGACTACAAAATGTGAGTTTATCCTACTAGACTAATATTTTAACTTACATTAACACGATTGTTATGTTATACGTTAGAGGGATATAGACTGATACAGGATATGGACTGATACATTTAACATTTTTGCATACCTGTAAATGAATTATTTTGTTTTATTGAAAATATATTCTATTAATTGTCAAATAAGTGAAATCGATTGCCTTTTTGAAAATGAATATTTAAAAAAAAAGTTATTTTATTTAAAAAATTAATTTTTATTACGCAAAAGATTATGAACCATGATATCATCAATTATTCTCATTAAGTCAGGAATTCGCCAGAAAAGAACATGTTACGCATTCAAATTTTTTTTATTACAATACGATGTATGGCGATGGTTTTTTTTTTTAGAAATTATTAGAATTGCAGTAATACTCTGTTGGATAAAAATGAATTTTGCTATTAGAATATATATTTACGAATTATCAAATATTTTTAATAAGCAATATTATAAGTAGGGTTCCAATATTTATGAAATTCTTAATTATTTCATGAACATATCGCAGGACTGTATTCCATAATTATTTAATAATTCTTACTTAAAAAACAATAAAATGTTTATATCAAAAGCTCAGAATAATACGTGTTTGATACGCGTGAAATAATAATAAGAGTTCGCTGATTTAAACATTATTCTAATGTGAAGTTTAGACAATTAACAATTTTGTCCATTTGGTTTGTACGCGCTTAAAAATCGATCCAATATTTGTTCAAAAAACCCTATGGATATGAAAACTATGTAAATACAATGTCCTTTCTTCTTCTTAGTAATTTATAACATTTCTTTTTTCATATTTATAATGATATTACTTTACTTGTATATATTCGTTATAAGCGACGAAATTGTCAAATTTTACTATCATCAGATGGTGCTTCGATCACCACGGATTTCGTTTCTAAATCTTGTTTCTTCTTAACAAATCATCGTTCAATTTTTGTTACTAAAACATTAAACAGAATTTATGAACGTTTAATGCAAAAATAATGTAAGTTCATTTGCGAATGAAAAAAAAGAAAAAAAATGTAAAAGTAAATGTTATTATAAGCAAATAAAAAAAAAAATTCAATTAAAGAATTCATATTTTGATATTTATCAATGCATAGTTGGTATACACATTCATTCTTCTCAACAGTGTCATCTGTGTCTATTGTATAATATTATTTGTATGTCGGATAGTTAAAAATAGTTGAAAAGTAAATCTTCATAAATCGATCGATTTGATAAATGCATATGTGAATATATATGTGTATATATATATGTTCGAATAAAAAATATTTTTCTCCTATTAATGGCTGCGAATGACATTAAGCAAACTCTTAGAAAATTAGATTTTCCTTATTGTGCTAAAGAGGCATTAGCCAGAATCGGTAAGACAAATCTTTTTAGGTTACCGGTCGATCCAATAAACAATCAATTTCAAACACATTTTTTCTATTAACTGTCCGTATTTTAGAAATATTATGCACCAGACCCGGAAAACAAATGGATCTTCAAGGGGATCTAATGACAGAATTTATTTTTGGAGAAATAGAAAGACGTAAGAAACGTAATATGACCGTTGCTATGCAGGAGTTGCAACTCATCGAAGTTTTAAGTGACTTTTTTCAAAGTCCGGGTGGTAGTCCCGCAGTACGAAATGCTGTTTTTCTGTCATTGTTTCCAGCAGAAAGTCCAAGATATAAAATTTTAGGCAATTTGGTATCTCTAGCAATTGCTACTCAAAATAAAGCAATCCTTAATGCAACTGGAATTTGGATGCAGCAATTGGGTTCCACTTCATCTCAAAGCGTAGGACTGGCAAGGCATGTACTCAATGACTATTTTGTCCTTACACCAAAATCTATTGACAAGCTAAAGCAGCTTCCTGTCCTTGCCTCCCATTTCACCGCAAACTTACTGACGGCAATAGGTGAAGTTTATGAAGATAAAGATCCGCCTACGGAATTGCTCAAATTAATAGGAGAATGGATAGATGAAAATCCAAGTTTGTTATTAACACCTTTGATGGACAATCCTGCATTGCCAAGCGGTGGTATACCTATGACACCAATAACACCTATAGCTGGTCTTTTCAGGTAATTTTTAGGATGTTGAATGCTTGGAAGAAGTAAAAATTTATATAAAATTAATAATAATTTTTTATTTTTCAGATGGTGCATTTTAAGTCCATTACGCTTTGATATTACAGTCAATGGTGAACAGGAAGATCGGAAAAAGAGTTATTCCAAAATTCAGCAGTTACTTATGGACTCTGTATTGAGGTTGAAGAGCGGTGGGACTAACAAACATGCTATATCTGCACAACATTTAGCAGCCACTGTCCGAGTATTAACAACTACTTTACAGACTTGTACAAATATAAATTCTGCACTACGTGATTTAGCAATGGAGAGATTAGCTCAAGCTGTGAGTGCAGCAATGTCCGCAAATTGTATTTACGGTAATAAACGTGAGTATATTGCTAGTATTCAAATTAAGTCAATATAAAATATTGAAAAAACAAGTAGAATGTAATCATAAATATTTTAATTGTTATAGAAGAATTACTAGCACTGCTACAACCACTGTCATATCAACATTTTTTAATTGAATGGACTCTACAAACATATACTTCCAAAACTGCTTAATAAGTATTCTTTAGTTACAATTAATTTTAAAGAAAGTATATTGTTTAAGTTGATCAGAATGATGGATAATGGCTGATTTAGTGCCTAAATAAATTACAATCATTGTATTTCTATATAAACATTATTATTCGTCAATGATTATAAGTAATTATAATCTTTAACTGATATATTGATACAAATTAACATAAAAGCCAAATTTTCATACCAGATTATTTATTATTTATGTCTAACTTAATTATAAACAGTATATATATATATATATATATTCAAAATGGCTTAAAAGTTCGTTTCTTTTTAAGTTCCTGTAATCTTTTCTTGTCTAATTCAAATTTCTTTCGTAATTCTGCCAAATCTGGAATAAAATTTTAATAAAAATATAATTATTACATAAGATAAACAAAATAAAAATCAAAAAAATACATACGTTGTTTTTTCGATTCACGAATTTGGAATGTATAAAAATTAAGCAATTGTTTCTTCTGATTCTTTTGTTCTTCTTTATTTTGTATCTTGTTTATAGTAGATTCCTTTCTACTAGGTGCAAATTGACCTCTTTTCTTCCTGCTTGTAATTGTTACCCATCCATCTTCTTCCATATCTTTTTCAGCTTTCTGTTTTGCAATACGATCTGCAATTTGCTGATCATACGTAGACATATATTTATTTATTTCTTTTTTTATGTCATCTTCTGATCGTATAGAATCATTGTATTCATTACACCATTCTATAAAAACAAATGTTTGATTGAAATAAATATCTAAATGTATAAATATAAATTTAATATGATAGGATAAATATATAGGAACAAAATTGAACATACTTGCTAAACCTGTTAAATATGTTTCTTCTTCTGTGTTTAAACATATCACATAATCGTTTGATAATTTCAATGCTTTTTCTAAACTAGATTCATTATTAAATACTATATAAGCTGTTCTAAATCCAACTAATGTTGTAAATACAACGGATGTTACTTCACCGCAAATTCTTGTAAATGCATTCTTTAATGAGTCTATCGTAGCATAAGGTGGTACATTTAAAACAAATAAAGTTCTACCTCTTGGATAATCGGGTTCTTGTTTTTTTATCCAATGCTTTTTGAAAAACAATTGATGTCTATCTAAGTTCTTTTCATTGAAATGAATCCATAATGCTAAGAAAACAATAAATTTATATATAAATTTTTATTTAAATTAAAATTTAAGATCTTATTTAAATACGTTTATATACACATATATATCATATATATTTATCTATGTTTTAATAATTATACTTACATTTAAAACCCTTGAGGTTATTTTTGTCAATTTCAGTCATCATATATGTGGTATACTTTCTTATAATATTTCTAAAATATAACCTATTATTCAATCACGTTTCTTGCATTACAATATAAACACTATTTGTCACTCGATAAATTTATACGTATGCGCGAAGTAATAATATTTTTATAAATTTTTTTTACTTTGAGAGATAGTTAAAAATCAAATAGTATTAAAATTATTTTTATAAAATTCAACCTTATTGATCTTGACTAGATAATTTATCATATTAAATTCAATTCATGATAAAAAAAGTAGCACATGATTCTAAAACTAATTTAAAGATAAACATATGAACAGACATATATGTATATACATATATTAAATAATTTTAAATATATAACTATATATATATACAAAAATAAATTTAATCAACTAAAAATAATTAATTTGAAGGCAATATTATGTACTATTATGGTTGAAACTCGTTGTTAACTTTGCATAGATAGCGCTGAAGTATCTCACGATCAGTCCAAATTGTTCACTATCGATAATTCAGTTTTATGATTACAATTCGTCGGTAAAATTATTCTTAAAGCGAAAAGTATAAAATTTGCCAAAGTTGTTATATTCACGTGTGGAAAATTTTGCTTCTCTTTAAAATTTCTAATAAAACTGCTAAAGACAAAGGACGCGAGTAACAGTGAATTTTCATACAATCGTAATTATTAACGGTATGTCAATAAATCAACGATGATTCATATTTTTTTATCAAACATTATTGTTTTACTTTTAGATATTTAGTCTTGATGAGTATTGAAAAAGAAATTAATTTTAAATTTGCTTATTTATATGTTGTGAAGGACGTGAGGTAATATTTATTCAAGATTTGTGATAGGCTTTTATCGATTCGCGAGAAGTTTTAGAGCTTCCTATTAGTGAACTTGGAAAAATGACATAAAGGTCCGTGAAAACAGCATATTTGATTCGATTAACATCCTTCATACTTATGAGATGGATACTTGTGAGTCACTGCATATGGCATACAGTGTCGACCTACTAATTTGTTGACAGGAGAAGTATGATTAACGGGCGGTGGTACCTTTTGTCATTTTTCTAGCCCGACTATCAGCTTATTGTTGATTCGTACAATTTTTAATCAAATTTACAAATCTTGATTTTGTTTACACAGAACAGTCTTCGTTCGTTTTTAATTGTTTTAAAATAAAACAGAATAGAATAAAACATACAATATAACAGTAATTTTTATTTCACGTAAGTTAAATTTTATGTAAACAGATTTCCTTGACAATTTTTATAATATTTATAGAAAATTATAGAAAAACATGATATATATTCAATATAATTATTTAATATCCAAGATATAAAAGTTGAATACGTAATCACTATTGAAGTAAGATACGTTTGACATATCATACAAGTCTATATAATTTTATCTTGATTTTATTATAAAGTAAGTCAAAATGGATATTGGATTTTCCTCTTATCATAACGGTGGACCCGCAAGAGAACAAGACTTTAGTAGGTTGTCTCAGACTATAGGTACCTCTATATTGAAGATATCACAAAATGGTAAGTTATTAAAATATTTTAATAAAAATATCTTCTACGTACAATAATATAATTATATATCTTTGATTGTAGTATCTTCAATGCAAAAAATGGTTAATCAATTGGGTAGTTCTACAGATTCCCAAGAACTTAGAAACAAATTGTATGTTAAAAATTTATATGAAATTAACATTTAGTCTTTAATTTTATCTCATTATATCAAATATTTTTTCTAGGCATCAGATACAACATTATACACAACAACTTGCGAAAGATACTAGTGGTCATCTACGTGATTTAGCTAATAACTCTGGCTCTACCAGCCCGGGAGAACAAAGGCAACGTAAAATGCAACGTGAGCGACTTCAGGATGAATTTACCACAGCATTAAATTCTTTCCAGGTAATAATCCAAACGTGTGTGTTGTATGTGTGGCGTGCTTCTATGGATATGTGTGTGTCGTATGTGTGCGTGAGTCTATGCATATGTGTATCTGTATATATATAATTTTTTTAATTGTGTATATTTTATATTAACAAATATACTTTTCAGGCTGTGCAAAGACTTGCTGCCACAAAAGAAAAAGAAATGGTCAGAAAAGCTAAAGCTAATGCAGGTATTGCTCCATTTGGAGAAAAAAAACAAGAAACTTTAATCGAATTGCAAGACAGCAGAACACAAAAACAAATACAGCAGCAACAATTGAAAGAAGAACAAAATTTACGAATGTTAGAAGAACAAGAAGCAAGTATAAGACAATTAGAGGTAAGAATATATTTAAATACTCATTGCAAGATTATTGACTATATATAAAAAGATTATAATAATCATTATGACTAAATAAGGGATATAATTAAAATATCAGTATTTTCAAGTATCAATACAAGATAATTGTTTTTTGCAGAGTAATATCAGCGATATTAATCAAATTTTTAAAGATCTTGGTGCTCTAGTATATGATCAAGGAGAAGTTATTGATTCTATAGAAGCTTCAGTGGAAAGAACAGAAGTATCAGTCAATGAAGCATCTTCGCATGTAAGGCAAGCTAGTGTTTATCAAACTAAGTTGCGTAAGAAAAAATGTATTCTTGTTTTAATTGGAGTAATTGTATTGTCTATTTTGATTGGAATTATAGTTTGGCGAAGTTCTTAAATTTGTTAATTAATGAATTTTAATTTAATATTAGTAATGCGACGATGAGTAGGCGTCCTGTAATTATAAATTACGACATTGAAAATGTTGTTAGAATATCTTACAGAAGTTACACTTTAATATCTCTAAACAAAGTGAAGTGCTCTTCTGAAGAAAAAATATATAAGTAAATTATATTTTACTTTTATTTGTAATAATAATTGGCATCATATATAATTTATGTATAAGATTAATGACGTGTCTATGACTGTCCAATACATTTGTATCTTTCATTACTTAATATATTGTATTATTATAGATACACTATACATACATATGTGTGTATATAAAATAATATATATTAAGTATATATTCATAATAATCGTTTGTATAATTTTAATGATATATACTTAAAAATATATGAGCTTGTTACAAAATAATCACACAAAGCATTATTAGGTATGTTTATATATAATGATCAAATGAATTTGTATAGATTGCTTATTATTATATTGCACTATGTGCATGAACTCAGAATCTATTCATTCCTGACAAGGCACGAAAGTAAGTTCTTCACAGAATATCATATGATGTACGATGTTAGTATTATAAGTTAATGTATTATATTATTATAAGAATGTTGATCTATTTTAATCAAAATGTAATAAACATTATAATGATCTTAATAATTTCTATAATATAAAAAATATATGCACATCCTTTTATAAATTTATGTTTTATAATTTATGTATTTATTGAAATAATTCTCGAAAGAGATACTAGATAGTAATAAATACTAGAAGTTGACAAGAGTGTAAGTATACTTTCTATAAAGTTATTCTTCATGTTTAAATTTATAGTTAACTTTCAATAATAATAAAATTTTCTTCTGAATCAAACTCGTATTATTAATTTTATTACGATATGATACATGAAAATATTATGGTTTTATTGTTCATGTGATTAAAAAAAGAAAAAAAAAGAAAAAAGCTTATTTAATGAAAATATTAATTTTATTTAAAATTCAAATAGTCATTAAATTTTAATTCGTCCAAAATATATCTGAATTAATCAATAAATTTATATAAATATTGCTATTGGAGATATATACATATTTAAAAGTTTGTATGTTGGCAAAGGAATTTATGTTTCTTTATTTGACAGCACTGATCAACGTTTGACAATAAGAGTAAACTCTAAGAGATTGGTTTAAGGGCGATTTACTATTGATTGTTCGTTCATTTTATTTAAAAGTTGAAATAATATAATATTCTTAAAAAAAATATATTCACGAATAGTCGTGTGTGTGCGTGTGCTCGATGAGCGTCCACACTGTATAATGTGGAAATACACTTTAATTCCAGTTACGATTATTTTAGTGTGTCTGTCAAAATGTGAGGTTAGAATTATATATAAGCAAAAATAATATGTGAAAATTTCATAGTTCTTACAAAAAAACAAGAAAGTTTTAATATTTTTTAATGGCTGTTGTCTAATTTTATAACATTTAAATATGGATTATGAACATTATGAATGTATAATAGATTAATTATACGTAGCATATTAAAATTAAACAAAAACATTTGATTAATTAAGTATACAATTACAGGCACAGTATGATGATAAAAGATGCAAATGTATTTGCCCAAGTCTTTCTTCTGTGATAAATACCACACAACCTTCGTTAGACCGATTAATTTTTATCATTAATGTCCCACCATCACAATGGTAATATTGTTTTCATGATAAATTATAGATCGTAATTTAATGTTAATTTACTTTACAATAATTTATTTATATATAACCTATATACTTTGTAATTAAAATTATAAATCTATAGATATTACTTTTCATGTTCGTTAAAATTGTGAAAAGTAACAATCGTAATATTTGCGACGATTCATGTGCATATTTTATAATTTTCAGTAAATGTGAAGATGTTGTTTTACCAAAATTAGGAGATCAAATAAAGACTAAGGAAGAAATTTTTTGTCCTAGATGCGATTGCAAATATGAAAATAGAAATACAACTATTATTAAAGTATGATCTTTTAACGCATTCTTATAAATAGTTATTTTTTTACTTTAAACACATCATTATAAAAGTCATTTATATATTTTATATCTAAGATTCCATTCAGAACTTTCTTAAAAAGAAATATACTTTACATTACAGATTGTCGTTATAATTGTTATTTGGGTTATATCATTGTTAGTAATTTATATGTTATTCTTAATTTGCTTGGATCCATTATTGAATAAAAGAATTCATAAAAATACAACTAATATTGGCTATCATGAACATAATAATGAAGAGGTAAAATCTTTATATGATATTTTTAACCATTTATTTTACATTTGATTTAATTAAATTACAAATACACAAAATAATACATAAAATATAAAGGTGAAAATGTCTCTACAATTTTATAATAGGATGATGCATCAGTAGCACCTGGATCTTCTCATCCGATGGGAGAAAGGGGAAATGTTCTAAATCGTGTAGGGCATCAACAAGATAAATGGAAGAGACAAGTTCGAGAACAGCGACGTAATATTTATGACCGACATACTATGCTTAATTGAAATGTACAGTTGATTATGACAAAATACTGAATATCATGAATAATGTATTACACATCTCCAAATATAAATATGATAAATAAGAAAATCTTTACAATCTACAGATTTTTAATGCAGCAAATATATAAAAATATATAAAAGTTTGCTTAGCGCTGCTATTATTTTAAATATATTATAAAGATTATTATAAGTATGATATTCTTCTAATATTTTTATTTATTCATCTTTCTTCCAATTGAACAAAGATACTATAATATGTAATATAATATATATGATTCATTGTTAAATCAAAATTCAAGTCATTATAAAAACATAACAAGCTTCCAAAAATTTCATTTTATTTTTATTTTTAAAATGAAAGAGGATGGATATCAATGTAGAAAGTTATCTATGAATATCTTAAGAAATAAACCAAAATAAATCATAAGATATGTATTAATGATTTAAATGGTTTATAAATATATTTCAAAATATATTTCATGTAAAAAACAATATAACACATAATATTTTTATTGAATTTATAAATATACAAAATAAATTGCTATGTTGAATCTTTAAATATTATATTTGAAATTTTATTTTTAATAGGAGCATACATTGTTAAAACAAGAGCAGCACCTGTCCCTCGAAGAATATTTGAAAATGCTCCCTTGAAGAAAGCTGATGGTCCTTCATTAATTAATATTTTCTTCCAACAATCCAAAGTATTTTTGTACATCACTTCTTCTTTACTGAGTCCTGACTGCATCATCATTCTTCTTCTGACTGTATCTAAAGGATATGATAAAAGTCCTGACAAAGCTGTTACAGTCTGAAAAATCATTAAGATTTATTTGAATAAGAATAGTATGATATATATATATATGTATCATATATTATCATATATTATCATATATTATCATATATTATCATATATTATATATATTATCTTTCTAATTTTTTAATCACGGCTTATAAAATAAATCATCTTTTTTAAGACAATATAAGAACTTACTTCAGCAATCATGAAGTTAACATATATTGGAGTAGCTTTTGGATCTTTAAAAAAAATTTGAGCTGTGTCATAAAGTCCAAAATACGCCGCACGATATATAATAATTCCTTGGACACTCACACTGAATCCTCTATATAAACCAAACAAGCCATCCGATTTAAAAATTTTTAATAAACAATCTTTCATTCCACTAAATTCTCTTTGAGCACCTTTTCCAACATCTGCAGCTAATCTATTGTATAATTGTAAATAATAATATCCATTTCTACTAAGTTCATTATATGGTTATATCTTATTTATTATACCTAGTACGAGCAAAATCAAGTGGATATACAAATAACAATGATGTTGCACCAGCAGCACCACCAGAAGCTAAATTTCCTATAAAGGTTCTCCAAAATGCTTCTTTTGGAACACCTCCGAGAAATAAAGCTTTATATTTGTCTTTAAAGGCAAAATTTAAAGCTTGAGTTGGAAAATATCGTATAACATTTGCTAGATTACCTCTCCACAAACTAAGAATACCAGTTTCTTTTGGTACACGTATAAACACATCTAGCATTCCTAAAATAATTATGAAATTCGTTATAACGATAAATTAATTTGCAAAAGTATTTCTTACTTATAGTAATTATTTATAATTGAAATTTAATAAAATATTAACACCTTTATATCGTTTATCAGCTGGTATTTGTTTTGATGTATGTTGCACTTGAAGTATTAATTTCACACGTTCTATAGGTGCTACTGAAGTTTTTGCAACTGCTGCAGATATACCACCTGCCAAAAAATCTAGTAAAAAAGATTTATATGCTTCCATGTGGTATATTCTAAAAGAAAATAAACCTTATTGATATAGTATAATTATCGAAGAATGATATTTTTAAGTTATACTATAAAATTGTTATAGATATAATACTATTGTAGTATACTGATTGTAATGGAGATAGTTCAATTGCGACATACTTGAAATTTATCAATGAAATTTCTCAAATAATCATTACTACGAGTATGCGTAATATATTAATATATTTAAATAAATTTGTATAAATTGCAATGTTCATCAAGCTGGAGTCTTTTGTTTATAAGATCAATAAAATATAAAATAAATCAAAACAATGTTAAACAATAAGTAAAGTTTAATATTATTTCGTTTTCAAATTTATTTAATAATTTACAATTTTTTTTTTACGATTATACAAATCTAACGATTAAAACTTTTTATGATGTGGTCACATTACGATTTATGCACATTAATAATACGGAAAAATATATTAATTTATAGAATTATATAATTGAATCTACATATTTAGAATACTAGATTGGTTAAGTAACATCAACTATTCTACAAGATGTAAACGCATCGTAAAATTATTTTCGTTTTAGATTAAAGACATGGAACATGTACTGGATATATGCAGTGTAAGAGTATGATGTTCTATACTCTTACAACAAGAATATTAGTCGGCACATAGTGGTATAAACTCATCTATACGTAAATAAGCATTATAATTAATGGAGATTCCAAAGATAATTTTTCTTTCAATTATCACTCAATTGAAACTAACATCTATAAAATCAATATTAAATATCAAAAATAATCAATATTAAAACAAAACACAAATACACAAAACAGAATATATTAAAATGATCATTTCCTAGGATAACTTAGAGCATGACTTTTCCATAAAGTAAAATATTGTGCGCTAATTATTATGGAATACACGTAGATTAAATATTTGGTATATTAATTTGATCATATGGAATGAAAATTGTAATTAAAATTCGATATGTCAATTTTTCTTTTTGTTACTTTACATATTAAAATGTAAAAAATTGACAAAATTGTTGGAAAGTGTCAATAATAATCATTGGTAACATATATTTAAATCTTTAAATAATAAAAATTTAAAGATTCAAACGTGCTCATAACTTCTCTTATATAAGAGATAAATAGATAAACGAAGTAATTATATATACTTCTTATTTATAATTATATAAGAAAGTAATTCTTGGCACATTACTCTCAAACGTTGTCAATTATTTCATCTATTTATGCTGCATGTATTGACTGAAAAATAAAATTTATAAATTTTTAATATGTAGATATATAAAATATCATTTAATATTAAAACTAAATATTGTATTTAGGATAATACCTTTGTAATATCAACACTTGTTATATCCTTGACAAGAGTGGGAACTTGTGAAATGATGTTAAATATTTCCAATGTTAATTTTTCTACACCAATCGTTTCATTAGCATTAGATACCATCGTTATCTTCTTTGTTTGGGAAAGAGGAGCAGCTACTTCAGCAGCAACCTAATAAAAGTGCAAGTATATTAATACATATTATTTAACAAATAGTAAGTAACAGTTTATAGAATGGAAGAAACAAATACTTTTGGAAGTGTGTCCAACATCATGTCTATCATAGCTGCACTCTTATATTCATTCCATGCTGCAGCTTTCTTTGCCATTTGTTCTGCCTCTGCTTTAGCCTTTGCCTCAATAGCAAAAGCTTCTGCTTCTCCACGAATTTTAATAGCTTCCGCCTCTGCTTCAGCTTCCATCATAAGACGCAATTTGTTCGCTTCTGCCATTTTTTCCAATCTGCAAAAATATTCTTAATAATAGTACATAGAAGCGTCAAATGTAGTACTTTTTACTTTATATAAATTTTACCTGTATTTTTCAGCATCAGCTGGACGTCTTACAGTAGCATCTAATTCCCTTTCGCGTCTCAACATTTCCTGTTCCTGTACTGCTATTTCTTGTCCACGTTCTACTACTTTCACTTGCATTTGTTCTTCCATAATTCTTTGTTTTGTTTTAGCTGCTTGCAATTCAAATGCCATTTCAGCTTCAGCTTTCTAAACAACAATCAGTAATTTAATTATTAATAATAATGGTTGTTATTAATTAAAATTTATTAGAAGTTTAAGATATTTTAATAAAAGGTAAGATATAATTTTACCTTTGTTTGTACTTCAACATCATATGCAGCTTTTTTCAATTCAAAATCTCGTTGTGCCTTAGCAATTTCTGTGTCATTCAAAAAACGAGCAGCCATACGCTGTTCCTCAGCAATTGCTTCTCTGATTTGCGCATCTCTGCGAGCTTCTGCTTCACCAATTCTCGCATCTCGTTTTACTTCTGCTGTTCTTGCCATACCAAGAGCCTTTAAGTATCCCTATAAATAATTAAATCGCCTTTAGTAATATATCAGAAGATGTTTTACATTTACAATAAAAGGCAGATATAACGATATTAGCTTGGCTCCGATTAAGCCCCAATAAAATAAATGCATACGTTAATTACAAGAGTTTAATCACAAAATAAGTTTCAGCATATGTGCACAGAATAGTTGTGCATAATTAAAGCAAGCATTCTAAATATACCATAGATTGCATTTGTCTGATGTTTTAATATTTTGTGCTATTATCAGATGATATAGCCAAGTGCTTGTATTACAGATAGCAGATAAAACAAAATTGAACATACCTTTGCCCCCTGCAAGTAGCAAAACAAAAATTTATTCAATATTTGCAACATATAACGAAGTACTACATAACTCTTATTTATAGCACCACTAATAGATCGTATAAATATTTTTAAGGGGGACTTTCTTTTGTTCTTTTAGCATTGCGAAAAGTTTAAATTTATACTGTTGTTATGATTAAAGTCTTTAATTTTATTAATTTTTTTAATTGTTTGTTAAATTTTTACACCCATTCGATATGTTACAATTACAGACAAACTTACTTCTTCATCTCGAATATCCTTTAATGTATATGATACAACTGTAATGCCCATGTTAACTAGATCACTGCTTGCAACTTCGAATACTTCTTTGCTAAATTTTTTTCGATCCTTATAAATTTCCTAAAAATAATACAATATATATATATTTAAATTTCTTTTTTATTCATTTCTATAATATAATATTTAAGATTTAATTAATTTCACATACTTCTACAGTCATACTGCCCATTATTGCACGTTGATGACCTTCTAAAGTAACTAATGCTATATTATGAATTTCTTCTTCAGTTTTACCAAGAAATTGTTCACATGCGGTAGATAACATTTCTTCATTTTGTCCTTGTATTTTTACCTATTACATTAATAACACTTTATAAATTTCATTAATACATAAACAAAAAAATAATACAAATTAATAGTAATACACTTGTTCTTTTAAATAATTTTTAAATAAATTATTTAATGGGTTTATCAATTGATTAAACCAAAAAAAATGATATACAGAATATAATAAAGAATGCTAAAAATTGATTAGGACTTAATAAAATTTTTAAATAATTATTTATGATTATTGTAAACAAATTAACCCATGAATCTTTACTGTTAAATTGAATTGTTTATATATAAATACCTGTGCAATTCCTGTAACAGATATTGGTACACCTTGTGACGTATAGACGGTAGGACTTTCAACTTGTAAAGTCATTGTATTTAAAGATATTCTGTAAAAATAATATTAGAAAAATATCATAACTATGTATTTTGAATTGTAATTTAAAACAAATAAATATTATTTAACTTATATTATAAGTAACATATCCCTTAATTTATATTCAATTATTTAAATGTAAAGGAAATGGTGTATAACTGTAAAATTTTTAAATAATATAAAGTTAAATACATACTTTTGAACTTGCTGTACAAGCGGCCATACAAATACCCTGCCACCAGGAACTAAAAGTGGTTTGCTGTAGCAGCATCCTTAAGACGAATAAATTAAATTATACATTTATTTGGGTTTATACAACTTGACAATTAAAGAACATATATTATAATAAACATTGTTATATCATATTTCAATAAATTAAAAAATACAATTTAAAAGCATCTGATGATAAATTATTTATTAAATAATTTAGTTTTTAAAAATTTAGTTTTTTCTTTTGTTTTTTACATTGTTCAAAATTCTATTTATTTAATTTGATCAATCGTTTCATAAGGACAAATACATTTTCAATTAATTTGAAAGCAAATTATTGACGAGACTCATAATTATGAAAATTCATTTAAATGACATAAATGTATTTTTTTGTATGATTACCTGAAACAACTAAAGCTTCATTTGGTCCACAAGTAACAAATCCATAACTCATGTTTGACACTGTAACGATAAGTTACTATAACTTTAAATATAATTAAATGAATGTAATGGATATCATATATTGATGATTATACGCTCTTTTAGCTAATATCCAGAATGGATGACGTCATACATGAAAATTGAAGTTTTACAGGATTTAGCCGAATAGGGATCAACGCTATCTAGTAGTAGATTTCAAAAGTTCCGTCAATTAAAATATTTATATTATTAAGAATATTTATATTATTAAAGAAGAAATGATTTTACCATTATTTCTTATACGATTGTTCACATTCGATTATACTTATTTCTATAGTGTTTTTATATAAATAATATATATATATATACATATACATATATATATGTTGGGGTGATTGCCGATATATATAATGTAAGGGAGAATCTATTAATGGGCGTTGGCGGGCAATTTTGAAGTGCCGTCGCAACAAGCAATATAAATTAATACATAAATCGATATAAATTATTTTATATAAAACATTAGAATCAATTTCGTTAACGAGAAAATATATAATAGCGTTCACATACATTGATATTTTCCTTTATATATATATAGAAACGAAGGTTATACGAAACAAAGAGAGGGGAAAGGGAAAACATGACAAACTATATAATGAAACTTCGATTATGTACCATTCTCCGAACGTATATACGTTAACGCTAAGCTATATTGGTGTGTTAGTAAACAAGGGCTTCTTCTGACGTCATGAAAAGCAATTGGACCACGAGCAGAGCGAATGTGTTCACGTGACTCTCGCGAAGGATAAATACGTTTATATAATACGCGGCAGTGATCTGCCAGATGTACATCGTGGCGGAAGTCCTTCGACCGTTTAATATTTTCCCTTATTTATTATATTACTCGCGTTTTTGAGCTTAATATATACACATATTTATCATTCAGTCATATACTTATCTTATTCATAGGATACATTGTTCTACTAATTATCGATACAATACATTTAATTGGAGCGAAGATTTATATATATATACATATGTAGGAGACCTTTATATGTATCTTTACGAAGGAATACATGATTTAATTATTTTAACTCGTATGTCAAGCTGAAAGTAACTATGATCCTTTAAAATTAATTTGCTATTAAATTCTTATATCCATCATCTGAAGTGACAATAATGATTACGTTTAGTATCGTTCAATCGTTATATACAACAAAAAATAATTATTTATTCGTTTCTCCCTCATAAATCTAACTTATAAAACGCAACTGTATTCGAGAGAAAAAAAATCGAGTTCAAAGAGTATATGTAATATTTCACATCTATTATTTCATCTCATGATATTCATCAAATTTCATCACGATCACCCATCGATATCTTTCGAATATTTTCCTATAGTCTCTGTTTTCTTTCAGATCTGCGCTTCCTCTTCCCTCCCCGTCCCCGGGAATTAGATGTACGGCGTAATAGCTGGTTTTTTTTGAATAATCATTTTATTTTTATCGTTAATTTTTCTTTAATCAATTTCTGACCACGAAATCATTCATTACTTCTTCTAAAAAATAATAGGTTATAATGAACAGAGTGTAGGTATTGTCAATGGCGTGAAGGTAAAACGCTGTTTTAAAGAATGACAGCAATGTCATTCTTTAAAGTTCGAAAAAAAGTGAAATTTTCTTGAAGATCTATTAAAGAGAATATATGGAAAAATTAAGGATAGAACTTTTACCGACTTTTATTAACTGTGGGTTAAGTCGAAGTCGTTATTATCGACATGATGTTTATAACTAAATTTCTATATATATATATATTTATAGTGTTTTTATTGTATGTATGAATATATATATATATATATATATATATATATATTTTATCAAATACTTAAATAAAATATAAAAAAAAAATATTTGATTGTAACTTATGCTGAATGATTTACTTTACGAATTAAAAATCTTTGATTGAACAGATTTTGCATTAGATATATACGACGGTAAGTTCAATGAATTTCTACTTTATCTAAATTTCTACCTTATCCAAAGATGTATTTTACGAAGATGTACATTTTAAACACAATCGATGAGAAAGGTTTGAGGAATTCTTTTTAGACTTTATATGACATTTATTCTGAAACGATTATATCTGAAAAATATATTAATATAAGGAATAACGAAGTATCGATATCTCTTATTTATCAAAATATTTCGAAATAATAATAAGATCTTTATATATATATATGTATACTAAATTACTCGGAGCATTAATATAATTAAATTAAGCAAGAAACAGAACACCATAGTAGCGGTATTTCTCTCACGAAAATTAAACTTCTTCCTGGTACCATTAGCAGGATGTACATCTGCACGTAGTCTTCATGTGAGAGTAGTTTTAATAAAGTTAGACAAAGAGAAAATGGGATACAACAACGCGAATGCATACGGTATTTTGCAAATGCATTGTGTATGCGCATGTATTGTAAATCTCAAGCCATATTTGCATATATTTTATCGGTGACAATCATTTATATTATCATAGCAATCATAGATACCGTTCACTATAGTACGTATAGTATCGACTCCGTAAAATAATTCAATAGCGTACAATCATTGAGTATTGTTAATTCCAGAGTTAATGAAAAAAAAAAAAAAGAAAAAGGAAAAAAGAAAAAGAGAAAAAGATATTAACAAAATCTATATCAATGATAAAAATATGCGTTTTGTTAGTTCGTTGAAGATTTTTTTTTTATAAATTTCTTTCATGTTTCCTTTTTGAAGGCTGCATAGTCAGTCGATTTTACATCCTGGCCTCGTGGTACGTGCCAGAAATAGACGACGGTTTCCCGTGTTAAATACGACGCAGGGGGTGCAACGACATTTGAAGATCGTGAACGAACTCGTGAACATCCTCAGTTCCTCAAAAGTATCTCGTTGTCACGGTTCTGCTTTTCTTTCGCAGAAAACTTTTATTCTTTAACTCGTATATTCAAATAAAATTTTCAAATACGAAAACAATCGTGATTACCTTTGATGAAACCCATAAAGATCGAGATATATTGCTCGGTCAATTTCGATCGAGAGGATCAATGAACTACGCTTATCATCTGCTCTTTGATTACGTGAATTAATCGCCATTTAACCAATTAGAGGAGAATCAAATTCGCGAGGGTTAATCTCGAATGAGTAGCTGCAAGAGATTTTAAACTGTTCCAATGTCTGCCGAGCAACACGTAAATAAATCGATCAATTAAATCGTTGGGAAGTAATTATATCAGACGGGAATTCTTTCGAAAGTTATGAACAGAATCGTATGATCGAAAGGGAGAGAAGAAAACTTTTTACTAGTACGTAATTTTATTTCAATTTTCAAGAAGGATCATGGATAAAAATTCTACTGGGCCAATAATCAGGATGTCATCATCCGGAACTCATGGAGCCGGAGGTATCGAATGTTGTTGCTGTAGATGTTGCACCTGCATACACATCGAGTTCCTTAAAACTTTGCCGGGAGTCGTAAAAGTCTTCGAAACGGTAAGTTACGGTCAGAAATTGTATACTATTTGATTAATGGAAAAAAAATATAAATCGATTTTTTCGTTAACGTTCGTACAGTTAATTAAGGAAATCTTTCTTCTTTTATTTTTCTTTTTTCCATTTTATTTACGTATATACGAAATACTAAACAAGATCATTTAGTAAATTCTTTTTAAAGGAAGACAACCGTTGCAACTGTTATCATAAACTCGTTAACTCCTGCATAAACGGAAATCGGTTATCGTTAGTTAGTCTAATTCGAGCGTCGACTTAACATACTTTGAAAAAGTTTTGAAAAAATTCGTTTTAAATCGTATCAACGATGTCATAAAATTTAATCCAACGTAAATTATTATTATTATTATTATTCGCTACGTATTTCCATTATTCACAGGTAATTAGCGGACTCATTCAGAGTTTGTTAGTCAATTACGGTCTAAGGTATAGTACGTCCATTGGATCTGCCTTTGAGGGATCTTTGACGACGTCCTCGGCCTGCTTTTTGATATCTACCGTTTTGTTGATCTGCTATGTAGTCTCAGAAAAATCTTACAGACTTATCCGTTCATCACTTTTCGTATGTATTATATTATTTTTTAATCGATAAAATGATCATAATAGTACGCTTGTTAATATATTTTTATAAAAAGATACTTTGTTTCCAAATAATATTTTATATTATCGTTTTTTCCTCTGCTAAAAATAAAATATCAAGAGTAACTTGAGTTCGAATCGTCTTGAGTTTTATTTCAACATACTCGTCTATATTGCAAACTGCATATCCATGTACATATTTAATATTTTTAAAATACATATAAAATGATTGTGTACTTGCTTGTTATAGGAAATGATGTTCAATGCATTGGCAAGCTTTTTGTACATGAGTTCTGCCTCTTATCTCGCCTTTTCAACAAAGTTATTTCTCTTGCCTGAGTATTATCTAAAGCCAGGATTTGATGTTTATCCTGCTATGACAGCAGCTTACGTAAGTTAACATCTTCTTCCTTTGTTCTTATTACTTTATATAAAGAAAATAATTCGTCTATTATTTACAGATTATGAGCGGAGTCGTTGGAGTATTACACGGATTTGATGCATATTTCTCCTTCATTTATTATAAAACTGGCAGATAGATTTAAATGTTAATAGGACCGAATTTGATAATATCGCAGATCGGAACATTTCAATGTTGCACCTAAACGTATTGATTAGAATTCAATCCATAGATATTTAATTATAAATAACATCAAAACGTTTAGGCGTTAACGTTAAAACATCTCATTATGTATGATCAAGGTATAGGAAAGATCCTTTAGCCGGGGATGACGATTGAAAATGATGAGCGTTTAAAGAATCAAGAAAAATTTCACAATTCCGACGAATTTTCGTATCCTCTCGTCGATGGAAGAGGGCCGGTTTCGTTGTCGCAGGAAATTGATCGTAAAGTGGTACGAACAGTTTATTTCAGAGCTATTGAAAGTGAAATAAATTGTTTAAGTGCTCGGGCCCGGTGTCTCGAAGCGAGAGAAGGCAGGCGCGAATGTGCTGGCCTGTCTAGCTGGCCATCTAGACGTTCTCTTTGCTTATTCATTGCTCACAGCTCACCAAAACGGTGAAATTTTGCTCGCACATGAAAGGAAAAGAGAAAAAGAAGAAGGTACAGACAGTATAGATAGATAGATAGCTAGTTAGATAGATAGATAGATAGATAGACAGATAGAGAGAGAGAGAGAGAGAGAAAGAGAGAGACAGAGAAAGCGTTAATTGTTCGTGAAAAAAAACGGAGGACAACTCGAATGGTCTCATTCCATTCCTTGAGTTGAATGTAAGATAAACAGTTAATTAATTATCGCAAAGTTGGTACCTACGAGCAATGCTTTTCCAACGAAGTTTCAATTCCGATAAGATAAATTCTTAATGTGGAACAATAAAATGAGAATAATCTCAATAAAAGTTACTTGCAGAATTTGTTTCGCGCACGTTTATTCTAATAGCATTGGCGCGAATAGCGTACCATATGCCCGAACGTTACTTAATATAATAAAAGAGTATTACTTTTAATAAATTTTGTTAAATAATTTCCTTTCATTTTCTGAAAAAACATTTTCGAAATATTCCAAATGATCTTATTAAATATATATATATATATATATATATTTTTTTTTTTAATATTTAGTCATTTAATATTACTTTACTCTTTGGCGAATGTTTATACAGAAATGATCTCGCGTACGTAATGACTGACGACAATGTCTTCGATTTGATCATCAAAATCAATTGATTTTTTACAGAATTTCACAAAAAACAACTTGTGATCGTCTTAATGAGTTTCGCTTGAAATTGTAAAAGGAAAGGGAAGTAACAACGACCACAATAATATTTTCCTTGAGATGAAGAAAAAAGAATATATTTCCGTATATATATAGATACGAGTGCGATAAGAATATATTGACTCATATTAGAGTTTCAAGGAATTAAATCAAATAGATTTACGTCTCTATTAATTACAAGCACGAAGAATGTATGTAAGTACGTAAATACTTTATTTCGTTCATTATTTTCGACGAGGACTGTACGAAAAGCGTGGCTGCAGGTCATTTCAATGCGTACCAGGTTATACCTGTGTCCTGGATGGTGAATGGGAGTTATACACGTCGATCCTCACGGACCTCACCGTGAGGTTTCTCCTTTCCTCTATCTCTCTCTCTCTTTCTCTCTCATTTTCTCTTTTCTTCCTTTTGCACTTCGTATCTTTCTCTCCCACTCTTAAACCTTATTCTCTCTCTCTCTCTCTCTCTCTCTCTCTCTCTCTCTTTCTTTCTCTTTCTATCTCTCTCTTTCACTATTTCCCTCTCTCTCAATCTCAGTTTCCATCCTTCTTTTCTCTGGCTACCGTCTCCGTCCTTCCAGAGTGAGCTTCGACGAGAGGCATATCGTGTGCTAGTCGAGGCATGTGCTCGCCAGTTTACCTCAGGATCTCGAACCGGTCGCGACGCTACGTTCGGAAGATTCCAAATATTCGAGTTATACGAGTCGTACGAGGTCAAAGCTTGAGGGTCTAATCCTTAACCAATAGATTCGAAATATTGCATTATCTTTCACATTCCTTCTTCTATCTTCTTAGCTTATCTCGTTAAATTTTTGTTTTTTCGACAAAAGCGAAAATTCCTTTGGAGGATTTGATTTTCGAAAAAAAATGGGAACGCAAATGCGAAGCGTCGTCACCGATAAACTCGCCACAACCACCAAAGGTAAAGAGGTTCTTTTGTAATTGGAAAAGTTGATTTCCCAGATCCAACTCGTTGATTTCTCGTAAAGGAAATTACGAGAAATAGTTCTGGTATTTCTTGTTACTATATACGTGCGTTTTCGTATCCAGTGATCCAGATGAGTCTTTTTTTGTTTTTTTTCCCTCTCGAGATATTTGTTTCTCTCTCTTTTTTTTGTTTATGTTTTTGTTTTCTTTTATAAGAGTCAGATATTTCCCATAGGAATTACTTCTGTTACTACCTGTGACTGTAAAATTTTATTACATTAATATCTTTTGGCTTTTATTTTATTTCTCTTTATTACTTTTTACTTTACATTCTCGACGATTTTCACAGAGAGAAGGCGAAAATCATTCCGGAGCATTGATTTATTGGTTTTTTATATTATCTGGATACAAACAAACGATAATGAATGCGGCTTTGAAACTGATCGACGAATATTAAATCTGCTCGTAAATTTTTAATACGAGGAATTTCAGTGATGAGAGGTCAATAGAATATTTAGATATTACGTTTAAATTATTAAACAATGTGTCAGGGAATACTTCAAAGAACAAAATCCATATCTCTCGACCGATTTCGGAATTCCATTACGGCGAATGTTCTCTTGAAAGTATAAAATCCTTCGATCTTGTGCCAAGATTGAAACGTTTTTTCTTTCTTTCTTTCTTTCTGCCTTTTGTTTTTTTAATGTAGAAACGGGAGCAATGTACTCGAAAGCAAAACTCAATAAATGATTTATCGTATAGTATTTGTTTGACCTTTGAATGCGCTTAGTTTGCGATGGGTCTCGTCGTTGCGTCGGTGATTTCAAAGGTGCTTGCCAAATCAAATCGTCGAACGAGTAAAAGTATTTTTTTACTTACGTCGGTGAAACCATATCGACGAAATAACCTTTATCGTATATAAAATCGAAAGAAATGACGAGGTCTTACAAAACGATGTACAACTGAATACTTTCTCGGAGTATCGAATACGACTTCATCGCCACTTTCAGGAGAAACTGGAACGTGCGATTTTTCATAGAAAACTTGTTTTAGTCCGTCCTTCATTGTGTATCGTGAAATACATAATTAAGTACCGTTTTCATCGGACTTTTTGTCACGAGATTGCAAGGAAAGAATCAACAGGTGCCGAAGTTCTGAGTTCCGGCGCGAATCCTCGTACATTTTTCTATATAGTATACTAAATTCTTACGGAAAGTTTTGTTGAAATGACTAAACAACAATACTATTCCGAATAATAATTATTATCAAAACAGTGGGAAGATAATATGTATTGTTTTTCTTTTATTTTTCTTTTCTTTTCTTAAGTACAAAATAATACGATATTATATTATTCGAAATTTTCGGTTTGTAAGGTATCTATTATTAAATTTTGCTTTATCGTATATCTACAATTTTATGCCACAATACAAATTCATGCTACTTCAATGATAAAATTCTTATAAATTTCAAGATAGTCTCGTACGTCGTTAATTACTTTGCACATTTCAATTCGAAATAGTTACGTTCGAAAGTGAAAAACGGTCCAGGGATTGATTGCCAAACGATCTGACTATTCTGGAAAAATATTATCGAAGAGTTTAATTGAAAACGTCCGACCAATCTAACTTACAACGTGTGCTTTTCAAGAAAAAAATGTCAACTTTTAAGCGACTATCCTTAAAAGCTTGCCAAAGGAATGAACGTTTCTTAATCAAACTTTACCAGATTCGCTATTCGTTCTTCTCTTTCTGCGTTGCGTTTCGAAGAAGAACAAGAAGAGAATGTATATGGTTGTTATCGCAAAAATAAGAGTGACGCGAACTCATTTTTGTTGAATAATAAATAAAGCTCGGTGATGTGATAAATCTGTCACGGAGTGTTTCAGGTCCCGAAACTCTATAATAAATATATAAAGAAAGGAAAAGCAGTAATAGTGTGTTTATAAAAGTTGTCAGAAGCTAATAAGTATAATTAATCGGTAAAAAAAAAAAAAAGAAAAAAAAAAAGAAAAAAGAACGAAATCGTAAAATTTCAAAAGAGAAAAAAATTGTCTCGTTGTTTCACGACGATACTAATTAATTTAATTTATACTAGAAAGTAAATTAATGAATGCGAGATTCCTTTTTATACGAGTAACCTTTCGCTGCGAGCGTGAGTGGAAAACGCCTGTCGTGTCGAATTGCGATTATCTCGGCCTATCAGAATGAGGAGGAATATTTCTCTAGGGGATAGGTTCCTCTCGGACCTTATAAACATTACTACGGAAATGGACTCGTATATTATCCTCTGTTTTCCTATTTTTTTTTTCTTTTCTTCTTTTTTGTAGGAGATTTTCGCTAAGACCGGAGACATTCGTATTTCAAGAGTTAGAACTCTTATCGAACTCATTCCCCCGTAAGATTTCGATAAATTGATAAAAAGCACATTAAATGTTAATTATGATGATTTAAAGAAAACAAATGTCGATTCACAAAGTTCGTACATTAAAGAATATTTTAAAGCAACTTTTGTTTTGCACGACCAAAGACCATTATCGGTGATTAAAGCAGTTGTTTTATCGTAAAATATAATGTTTAATTTATAAATAAAAACCCAGAGAAAATTGTTAGGAACGATGTAAAAAATATTGTCATTTTTCCAAGTCCATTCATCTAGTTAAATGCACGCGGTCTTACGATTCTTGAAAGTTTGAGAAGATCTTCGTTCGGTTGTGCTATTGTATGAGCGTTCTATTGATAATGGTATATGGTTATATACGAACAGGCAACTCGCTGTCTCGTTATTCGAAAAATGCAGAACGGCCTTAGCCGTCAGGAATAACTTTCACACTAGCAGGTACCGACTGGTATCGGTCGGTGTATGCTCGTTTTCCTTTTCCTTGAGTACGTGTAGATGTGCGTATATCTACGTAAATACGTATGTACATACGTACATACATACGTACACATATTCATATGTATATATATATATACATGTATGCGAAGACGCGGACGAGTAGGTATAGCGAACTCTGGCTAGTAACGTAATCGCAGGTGTATGGTTGTACTATGTGAAGGAGAAAGAGACGTTCGATCGTTAACGCTCCTAGAATTACGCTCGTCCATTTTCTTTCTTTTTCCTTCTTTTTTTTACTTTTACCCCATGATGACAAAGATAAAAATCTAGAAATTAAATGAGGGAAAAATTCATAACCATTTGTACCGAGAACAGTACATCCGATATAAATTCTAATACGGCATACCTGACCCGTCCAACTAGAAATAGTTCTTGTGAAATTTTAGATGGCACTTCCCGCTTTTCACTCTGACCTATACGTCATCCTGGATGATCTACGTGCGGTTCGGCATAACGAGCCGTCTAAAAGCTCAAACTTCAATGTCGTTGTTGTTTATCTTAAAAGGTCCTTTGACGTTCAAAGTGACGTCAATCGAAATGTCAAAGTCTAATTCTTTTGTCTGCATTTTTAGTATGAATGCTCAGGTTACTTACCTTTGCTATTGTGAAAGTGACGTAACGCGATCTCCATGCGCGAACATTAGAATGCCGATCATTGGATGATCTGCTTCCAGGATATCGTCTTCAATATGTGCGTGGAATAATGCTTATTTAGTATTTACTGACCATTAAATAAATTAAACAGGGATCTAATTCTTCCAAACAATGACGCATCCTAAAATAATCTTATCATCGAGTTCCACTTCCATCGTTGCGTTAGAAACCAAAGGTTATCTTTGATCACGTAGTAGACAATTTATATATGTATACTTCAGCAAAGTTTGAAATTCTAGCTTGTTTGTACCTTGTAAATGTATCAATTACATAGATACGTACGTAACGATGATATGTCATACGGATATACATAACTTTTCCGTGTTAGAAATTTGATTTCGAAAAACAGCCGGCGTTCTCGTGAGATTAGAATGCAATTACTTTTTGTTTTCTCTATTGGACAATGCGTTTTTTAGACCGGTAATAAAAGTGTTGTATAATTGACCGCTTTTACCGTGCACTTTCTATTGCGCAGCTAGGATATTTGATAAATATAATGATAAAATAATTAGTGATATGTATATATACATATATATACATATATATACATATATATATATACATATATATATACATATATATATATATATATATATATATATATATATATACGAAATAACTGTATTAAATACGTTTTCAGGTATATCTTGGTCGACTACGGAAACACCTTTCACACCGGAAGAAGAAGATGCGATCGTAACTTTGGTCGTCGTAGTAATTGGCGTAATCGTCACTATTGTTATTTTATTTTCAATGGGAATTTTTATCGATTGTAAACATCAGTAAGTAACAATTTCTTTTCTTTTATTTTTTTTCCAAAAAATCATTGAAATTTTATATAATAATAAATGATGTTATTATAGAAAGAAGGAAACCTTTAAGAAGAGGAAACCGAGACTAAAAATGCCACAAATTCCACGCGTTCGAAGGACACAACCTGACGACGTTAAGTCCTTTGCCTCCGATATGTGTCCAAACGATACAACCGATTCGTTTTCAACGAGAGATGCCATAGTTTGATTCTCTTCGATCGAACGATTCTCTTTTCGTATTGATTAATATAAGTGCACGAATTTCGTTCGAAACAGTCGAACAAACAGAAACAATTAATGACTTTTTTCTACGAACTTACGAAAAAATTTCACGAACAACGTTGATAGGATATTGTATATCCATTACTACTACGAAGTCGAACGACATAGTGTTTTATCGCTGTGATTTATGCAATCTTCTTTTACGTAACTCTTCTTCATCGTGCTTTTTTTTTCCTTTGAAAAGCAGCAAGAAAGAGCAGGTACCGATTTATTGAAACTAACGAATTATCGATCATTGGTCGATCAACGTCTCTTCTCGATTGTTTTATACGATTGCGCTGGGTTGCTTCTCGATTATTGATTTTCAAATATAAATTGAATTGAGAATCACGTACAACGAGATTCGAATTATCGTAACCAATGACCATTTTATTGGAGAGGTTAAACAAACAGAAAAAAGTATATCATTGAAAATATTTGATACATGTCTCTCAACAAGCTACCATTAATTTTTCTTTAGAATTGTTCCAACGAATTTATATATGTAATATATAAATATATATATATATTATATATATTATTTATATATATATATTATATATATTATATATATTATTTATATATATATATATAAGAAAAAACTCTGTTACGAATGAAAATCTTTTCTCTTACGATTTTTGATAAATGACCATGACTCCATAAGAAAAGGTCTTGGCCTTGCGTTAGCTTGCTCCATTTCACATCAAAGATATCGAAGCGAAGTAAGAGAAAAAATTTGGTCGTGACCTTGTTTAATCTGAATTAGAAAAGACATGTGTGTGTGTCTATGTGTGTATGTGTGTATGTGTGTGAGAGAGAGAAAGAGAGAGATATGAAATACAGCGCGTGTTTGACTACTTAAACTTGCGAATCACGTATGGTAGATTATGAGAATGCATGACTGTATCTATTTATGATCGTCTCTATACTTGAAGAAATGTTCTTGTGTGCCTTGTGATTATTATAATTATTAGTTATCATAGTCATGTCGATAAGCTCTCGAATTATATTTTAGTATTATTTACGCGTAAATTTTATTTTAAAAAGTAAGTAACGAAAGAAATTTTGCAATTGTTTTAGAAATACCGTGGATTTTTAAAGTAATAAAAAAGTAAAACGGTTAACGTCGCGAATTTTATGCATCGATAACGATATCGATGCATAAATTTCGATACGTTAAATCTGTCCTTTTAAACGACAACAAATCCTACAAGTTTGACTGCTAAAGCGATGGATGGATATTCCTCTTGTGAACATTTTTTTTTTTTTTATAAAATAATCTTATGCCAAAAGTATTTGTAAATTATTGTGCATTATCGTGCATTATCGTGCATTATCGTGCATTATCGTGCAGTATCGTCACCTATTATAGATTAATGCTTATTTATATATGTGTATATATATATATATATATATATATATATAAATATATATACATATACAAACACTCATATATATATAAGTACATATATATACTTATATATATATATGCAAATGCACGAACAGTGTACATAAGTATTATCATTATTATTAAAGAAATCGAAAAGATTTACTAGAAAAAGTATTTTCTCTCTTTCAAACCTATCCTCTACTGTCATAATTTTATTAAAATTAAAAATAATTGGAAATAATCGAAACAATTGAAATAATTGAAATAAGGGAATATTCTATGATATAAATGATTGCATGTTTAAGGAAAATGATGTTAAAATAAAAGAATGTGGAATAAAAGCACGAAGATAATGAAATAACCTTCGTGACGATTTGAGATAACGTTATATCGGATTAAAATTATATTCTTTTACCTTGCCTCATAAGATTGAGATTTTCTGACGTAGCATCGAAGAAAATCATGAAACAGTCTCTGACTCAATAAGATATTGAAAAGTAAATCAAAATAATTTACGAAGCATGATGTGACTTAAATCAAGATTAATTATCTCTTCGTGCTTAATAAAAGATTATGATTGATATTTCGTAAAATCATTTATATATATATATATATTTAATTAAGATTATCATGTTATTAATAAAAATAATTTTTTTTAACGACGAAGAATTTCTCTTTATATTTCTTGTTTATTTTGTTTGTCAAATCCATATAAACGGCGCGTAATCAATATAGAAATTTGAACGAACGTACATTTAAGTGGAATGATTATATACATAATCTAGTTTGAATTATTCTCTAGAGAAATATGATAAAATATTTATAATATAAAACTATAACGATATATTTTCTTGAATAATATTGTCATGATTCTTGGACAGTTTCAGCTTAAGTGTTATAATTTTGATTGATTGTAAGAAAATATTACATTTTATGTAATATATATATATATATTTATATATATCAGTAATGTGTAAATTAGCACAATTTGTTGTAACGCACGATATTTATCACAGTCTAATTGGAATTTCAGGTGGGTGATTTCCTGTGGCCTTCTCCTTGAGGAGATTTTTCGACGTTTTGACCTTAACCCACAAGCTGGTCTAAGAAAACGGACATTGATCTCGATGGATCAGAAACGACCTAGAACCATGGCAAGGAGAGCCATGCGAACGTAAACACCATTCTCGGCTTGCCTAAAATACGCAGCGCGAGGATCCATGTCGAATTCTGTACTTATTTCGAAAACACGTGGAAGGGGATGCATGACTACCATTTTCCTTTTGGCACGCGACATTAATTGCGGCGTCACTATGAAATGACCACAAACCTGCGAAAAAATAAATGACATTTTTATTATGATTTATTTTCGCGTTTCATCGATAGGACTCATTTGAAAAGTTCAAAATTAATTTACATCGAAATTCGTAATTAGTGGTACAGGTGATTGAACATGAAAATATGATTAAGTGGAATGAACGTACACGCTTAAGATAGTTAATGATCAGTATCAGATTCATTAACATCTCTTATATTTTATACACGTAAGTAATATATGTCAGTACAAAATTATTCTTTTTACCTGTCGATATTCATCCTGGGTTACGAAACGTTCGCGTTGTATACGTGTCATATAAAGTACGTCCGTATCTGGCAATGCCTCTTCAAGACTTTGAAACATTTCCTGGGATACGCCTCGCTTTGACACATAATTCATTACGTGCTCGGGCATTTCAAGTCCAGACGGAGAAACGTATCGTAGTTCTACGTTATACAAGGTCAGTAACCTGAAATCGAGTTAATATGATAATTATTAGTCGACATATTGACGGATCGAATAAAAGATTTTTTTTTAATTGGTAATGAATGCGAAACGAAAATTCTATGAATCAAAAGATTTGTACGAATTGATCGACTACTTTAGATACATTGATCGATAACAAATATTGATCGTTATTATACGATAAAAATATGAAAATGATATCGAAAAGAGATAAATTAGAACGATTGTTATTATACTGTAATATATAGTATAAAAAGTGATAATTCTGTGATACGGATTTTTATATTTAATAATTTACGATCGATGTGTAGGATAGAGAATTTGATTTTATTGAATTAACCTGGCGAGAGAATGAACGGTTCTTCCATGCTTCAAATCGCCGACCATCGTAATCGTCAGACCGTTCACAGTACCGATCTCATCACGAATTGTGAAGATATCCAATAAGGCTTGAGTGGGATGTTCACCAACACCATCGCCAGCATTTATTAGGGGCTTTCTACAGTGTTGAGATGCTCTCTATAAAATAGATAATAATATATAGGATAGTTTATTCGTCACTTATCTACTTATGCAATATTTCAAATATGTGTGCTTACTGATACTGCACCAGGTTCTGGATGTCGAACAACAACGACGTCAGCGTAACCAGCCATTACGGCTACCGAATCTGTGATCGAAAAAAGATCATCGATTAGAATATATATTAAAAAAAAAAAAAAAAAAAGGACCAGTTATGAACCTTCCAGAGTTTCTCCCTTTTTCACCGACGACGTAGAACCATCCATGTATATTACCCTTCCACCAAGTCGTTCCATAGCAGCCGAGAAACTACAGGAAGTTCTTGTACTGGCTTCGTAGAAAATAGATGCCATAATTTTACCCTAGATAAAATAAAACTAAAATTTTTAAGACGAATAACTGCTTATGTGATAATACTTCTATATCACAATATCAATAATCTTACTCTCAAGATGTGATCCAACATTCGTTCCTTTCGAATCGCGTTACGAAATGTTTCGGCGAGATGGAAAACTTCTTTCAATTCTTCCTTATTGAAGATATCCGCCGAAAGAATATGATGTCCAGTTAAGTTACAGCTAATGTGATTCGATGTCGTTGACTGTACATGGAGATTCAAATTACTTTCGCTCTTGTGACGTATGGAACTACTAAAGGACAACGGTGAAATTGTTCGTTGAACTCCTAATAGCTTTGGATGATCGACGTCCGATGCGAAATGAACGTTCGATTTTTGAATGATGGGTTGTAATAAATGATTATAACGTTCTGAAGAAAAATAAAATAATTGGGTAAAATAAAATATCTGATACAAATAAATTATAGATCAGATACAATAATAGTTCGCGTTTCCTCACCTAATTGTTCTTCTTCCAATTCACTATTACGATCGTGAATATTAGGCGATAAAAGATTATCCAAGCCTGATCCAGGTCTACTAACGTTTACATCGATCGTGGGTGCATAAACGATTGATGGATGTTTCATTTTTATTTGAATCTCTCTGATATCCTGACCGAATCCTGGGTTAACCAAAACTTGTCCTTCAACGTAAGCAACCTCCCCTCTAAGAACTACTCTATGAACCGAACCACGGATTTTCATTCCTGCGAATGGTGTCCATTGAGCTTTGCTAAAAGACATAGCATCTGGTATAACCCATTCATCATCTAGATCAACTTCAACGTAGGTGTTCGGTTGATCTGGTATATTGAAGATTTTCTTCGGATTTCTGTAAAACTTGTCGACCAGTGCCTGTAATATATATGTTCGTCTTTTATTAATGTTACATTATATATTAAACGAAGAATATGAAATATTTCCTACGTTTCATTCTAAACTTATTAGTTAACATAATTGCAATGTTACGTGATAGTATTGGTTATTAAATTCCAACTCGAAAAGTGGTTGCAACAGTTTTTGAGTTGAAATTTTAAAAATGATGAATTTGGTAGGATTTTAAAGGAGTTTTTTTTTATTATATGTTAGTTTAAAATCAACGAAACGACAAATTTTTGTCCGAAAGGTGTGTCGGAAATAACGGGAACTGTTCAAAAATATTAATACGTTTTTTGTGTTTTTATAAATAAACATCAGAATAAAGAGGCTTTGAATTTATTTGCAGTCCAAATAAAACTATGACAGAGATATATAATCGCAAAGATAAATAATAAAAAAAAAAAGAGGAAATAGGTATATAAAAACATTATGGCTTTCGCGCTCCTTGCCAATGATACCTAATCGGATAAAGTCTCCTGGCTTATCTCGAAGAGAAAAGATATCGAAATAAAGCTTGTCTTTAGAAATGCGATAAATATAACACGATTCCTCACTCTTAGAATTAGTTAGGAAATCAATGTACTTCTTTCATTAATAAATAACTTCCTTTTTTTTATTTTCTTTTTTTTCGCATATCTTTTATATTCGAGCGCAAAAAATTCTCGATGAAAAGTATCTACCATTTTTTTTTCTTTATTTGTCGTTCGGTAAACGATTTTTTTTTTTTTTATACTTACTTCCATCGTAAGTTTTCCATCGTGTACGGCATTCAGTAACAATGGTAAAATTGTTTCTAAGCCTGGGAAACCTGGAGGTGCATTCTTGCTTGTTTTTTCTTGTACGGTGTGAGGAGCTAAAAAACGAAAATCCAAATGGTTATTCCTTTGCAAACTGAAAACTCAGATCAGATATAAAATCTTCGTTTTCTTTTGTTTACCATGATCTGTCGCGAAGCAATCGATCGCATCTAAATTGTCCCATAATGCTTGCTGATCCTCTTTTGATACCAGAGAAGGTCGTACTTGACCCTTCGTTTCGCCTATACGTTTAAGATCGTCTTTGCAGAGGAAAAGATGATGCGGACATACTTCGCATGTAACTGCAAGACCCTGAACAAATATTTCAAGATATATTACATTTTTTATTCGATCGACCAAAGAAAATATATATATATATATATTTTTGAAATACATATTATGTAAAAGTATAAACCTTCTCCTTGGCAGCGCGTATGATTTGAATTTCTTCTTTCCTTGCGACGTGACAAATATGAACAGGTCTATTGTGTAAATTGGCCAAAAGAAGAATGGCTGCCGTTGTTTGTCCTTCGGCGTGAACACATAAAGGATATTTTTTCGGCCAGCTTTGGAAATGCTGTAAATGAACGTGTGATGTTAAACGTTACGTTAAAAGTGATATTAATCCTTTCTAATTCGATATTTTTCATCCTTTTATATATCTTGTTATTATCGAAGTTAGATAAGAATATTTTGAACGGTTGCAATCCCTGCTAATGCTTTTTTCCTTCTCTCTCTCTCTCTCTCTCTCTCTCTCTCTTTTTCAAATCTCCGGCTTGTAAAATTGCAGCGATAGTATGATTAAAACGGGTTAACATTCTAAGTTACATGCTGCAACGGAATGTATTGTGTGATATGATAGATGCACGATAAGGTGTATTCGATCGTGTACATAAGCTGTTATCTGCAATGAGGAAAGTACCTACGTTTTTCCCCGTATTAGAGATTAGAAATGGATTAGAGATGAGTAATCAACGAATGCATTTATAGAATTGAAGGTCTCGACTTTACCTTTATCCAAACGGTCAAATCAATCAGACGTAGCGTCGTGAAGGTCTCGTTAAGATACATCTTGAGACCTGCAGCGAGGGGAGCGATTTCTGGTGTTATAATATGGTTGTCCGCCGAAGCACCTATGAAAAGTGCATAATCGCATCGTGCACCGGCTATCGCACGCTAAATTGATAAAAATAAAAATTGAAATTAAAAGAGAAATTATTAACCATTTAAAGAATAAGTAGTGTAATTTTGTTGATTATATTATCAAAGTGCTTATCTTTGATGCAATTATGGACAACTTCCGCTTTTATCGATTATATCACGTGCCTTTCGATAAGACGCACGTTTTCGAAAGTGTGCTAATAAATTTGGCAAAGAGAAAAAAGGTTTTATCAAAGGATAAGATGCAAATATTTACATTTTTCTCGTATATATAAACGAGACTCAAATATGTTAACAATTTTTCTCTTTTCAATTGATACAAAACGGACGTCTTCATTTGCCTAACTCTTTTCAAATTGAGTTATATTAGATGATGTAAGGAGATCTAGTTTCAAACTTCATTCACAAGGTCGAATGGAGTCCGCGAACATTCCTTTGATTTTATTTTTAGCGCAGTATTACAAATGATGTAAAACAATTTTTACACATCATTTATTATCTCAATACACGCTACTTATCAAACAGAAAAGATATGGAATGAAAGTTGCGAACATATTTTCTTCACGCTCACACCGGAAATGTATAGTTGTAAGAAGAAAAAAAAAAAAAAAGAAACAAAAAACCGTACTTAGATCTGATAAAAAAGCTTCGCATATTGACCTTTCTTTTTTCTCCCTCGTTCCTTGCAAATCCAAAAACGTATTTGCGAGAAGTATAAGGATAAGCTAAGAATATAAATGAAATATTGTGACGATAGCAATGAAATCAATTATGTAAAGATCGTAAACCATTGATAATATATATCAATCTCTTACCTCTTTTGCCAAGGCGAAGGATTGATGATCAACGACAGCTGGATTGGTGTTGGGCATCGCGAATATCATAGTGATACCTCCAGCCAAAGCGGCGGCCGTGCAAGATGCGAAATCTTCTTTATGATTCGCGCCAGGATCACGAGTGTGCACGTGCACGTCGATGAAACCGGGTAACTTTATCATCCTTCTGGAGGACATGCAATCCGTGTGTGTCTTCATACGCGGTGCACGTCCACCCAATATTCTCATTGCCTTTTGTAAAAATGGAGAGGGGTTATCGTGTTAAAACGTTATTCCGATCATTATGTTCGCCCTCGATTGACCTTGAATCGCATAGTACAATTCCATACGACTGCATAACAAAGTCTCATGCTTTTATAAAATATCGTAAGAATTTTGTTTATTTCAACGAGTGTAAGCAATCTTTGCTATTTTCATTGTAAAAGAAAAGAACAAAAAAAAATATCTATATAGGTATAGAAAGCGATTAGATTATTGCTAGAAATATGATACGCAATGCACATCATTAGTACGTACGACTAACATCCTATTACTATTTATACGTTTTACTATTATTTTTATCTAGCGAGATAATATAAAAGGTTAAGAAATGATTTAATATTGATTTTAAGAAATTTCTACGAAAGTAGAGGTCGACGGCTAATCGCTGAACTATGCGGCTGGACTTTGATCATTTGATACCTGTATTTTATAACGTTCCGATTATAAAGAAATATTACTTATATTGAAATACTTGTTTAGGTACTTCATAGATTAATTTTGAAAATATGAGTCATCGTTCAACGTCGAACTTTTTTATATTTTCAAAATTATCAGATTTTACATGGCGTAATTATTTTAATGGTTTATTACCTCGACGAGTAGTTTGGCACATTTTACGTCCGTGACAAGAGGAACGGAGTAATCTACCGCTAATCTTCTAGTACGGTAGCCATGTGTCATGAAGTTTGAGACACGTCTAGCCCCTCCGTTTCTCATTGGCAAATTAATGACCAGATCGAATTGCTTTTTCGAAAGGAAATCAGCAAGATGTCGCAATTCGCTCGGACTCGAGTCTTCATTAACACCGATGTTTTCGAAAGTCCATTGCACCGGTTCTATCTATGAAAAAGAATGTTAAAACGGTTAAAATCATCAATTATATATATATATATATACACACACACACACACACACACACACACATATATGCCATAATAAATAAGATTCTAATTTATTTTATTATTTTTATTCTATTATTTTAGATCGTTTAATCGTACGGAATAGATAGACGTAGGTAATAAGATTAGACTTATCGAAAAGATAATCGCTATAAATAATATATATGATATATATATATATATCATATATATATATATATATATATACGTATGTATATGTATATATATGTATGTATATGTATATATATATATATATATATATGTATATATATATATATACGTATGTATATGTATATATATATGTATGTATATGTATATATATATATATGTATATATGTATATATATATGTATGTATATGTATATATATATATATATGTATATATGTATATATATGTATGTATATGTATATATATATATGTATATATGTATATATATGTATGTATATGTATATATATATATATATATGTATACAACGATAAGTAAAAAAACAAATTCAACTAATGATTAATACTTAATATATTTTAATGTCAATTACTTAAATGGCTTATTAGTTCGCTTTTGCGAATAAATTCATTTTTCATTTTTTTAATCACCCCAGATCAACAGAGATCCATATCATATGGATATATTTATTATACCAGTGGAATGCAAAATACTTATTAGTCTAGTCCAAAAATTAATATAGATATAATCGCGTTAAGATAACGGTTAAGGGAAAGATTAGATAATATTGTTATTTTTATCTATTGTAACTGGTAGGTATATCTGCATGTGACGTCAGGAAACCTGTCAAGCCTTCAATCATCAAACAGAGATATTTTAACTAATTATTGATCCTGTTATCCTGAGCCTTTTCTTTTTATCATCGAACGTAAAATCTGTTCGATATAAATCTATAATTGTTAAAAAGATAAACATGATAATGATTTTAGATAGAAATAGGTATACGTTTTCGATAGACAAGCTCTTGATTTAATTTCCTCTTCCTTGGATAATCTCAAATTAAAGATTCTATCCTAAACTTTAATTTACGACAACGAGTATATATGATTTTATTTTGAAAGAAATGTTCTTTTAAATCTTACGAATTCATGTATTTTAGCTTTTCCTAAGGAATCCTACTGCAATTGTAATGCATTTAAACATTTCGTAAAAGAATCAACGTTTTATATATCACGTCATTATGATACAAGGTAGGCGGGACATTTTTTACATTTTACGTGTTTGTCGATAACTGATAGTGAAGAGTTGATTAAAAACGTTCTCCTGGGTTGTTCGATAACGAGATAGCTATTTATCGACGGGCGGCAGTCGCGGGGAGACTACTGTCTCACAGATCTTTGCGGAATATCGAGTACAGATACCTTTCGCGTACGCCTACAATGATTGGTTTCAATGGCTGACATCGTTAAAGCTTACCTTGTATGGGTAACGCTCAAAACAAAAAATACGACGGGAGTTATTTATCAAAAATAAAGGACACCACGAGCGCGATCGCGAAAAATAATCCTATCATCGATCATACATATCGATCTTCTCCCTCCACCCTCGGAAAAAGTTATCGTACAAGTAAACCTATCGTCATCGGAAGGAGTTCGTTTGAGAAGAGACAATGGGTAACATCAAGTCGAGAAGATCAAGAAAAGATAAGAGCAAGAAAGCTAAGGGTGATGATAGAAATCGAAGTTCCGATATGGAAGATGACTATGACGAGAATGAAGATATGGAAATGAAATGGTTGAGAAGAACCATAAGGAACGAACCAGAACACTTTGTACTTAATAATCTTATGATGTGCGTGCAATTCTTTGGAAATTACGAAAAGTAAGCCATATCGACATTTTTTTTTTCTTTTGTTACTTCCTTCGAAGAGAGAATGTGTGAGTGTGTATGTGAGTGAGTGAGTGAGAGTGTGCGTGTATTCTGTCGATATCGTGATTACTCGATTATTTTTAAGTGTTTTTTTCCTTCTTTTATTTTTTCCTTTTTTTTTTTTCATACAGTGGATGGTAGTTGAATTACGCAGACATCAATGATGACAATGCAGAAAAAATAAAATGTTAATTTTTTTAAACTTAACTTAACTTAATTTTTTTAAACCGATTACATTCTTAATCATCTATATATGATTTTAATTTTATTATCGAAGAATATTATTTTCGAAGCATTGCAGTCACCTTCGAACGATTTTTATGATTTGTAGTTTTACGATAGTGTTCAATGTGTAAAGATAATTTTTTTCTTTGATAAGATGTACCAATATTGAGAAATATTCTGGTAACATCTTTCAAAAAAATAAGAACAATGTCAATATTAAACATTTATATGGATGATTAAATTGTTCCGTAAAAAGTTGTAATATGTAGACTTTGATCGCGCTTGCGTTATCCTCATGTTTTTAAAACGGTCAAGTATTAAATAAGTTTATCTATAATCGTATAATTTTGATATCTCAAATACTGATACGATGATTTGGGCCATAGAAGGCTATTGATGTATACTTTATCAATCATAATTCTTTCTTGACTATGTCATCTATATATTCAAAATCAAAATCCTTGACTATTATATAAAAATTAAATCAAGTGGTTAACCTAAATATTAATTTCAAGTACAAAGAAATGTGCTTTATCTTTCTCTCTCTCTCTCTCTTCTTTTTCTTCTTCTTCTGTATCGACTTTGTTCTTTGCGAGAAAGAAAAAAACACAAATGAACGAATTCCACGAATCATATTGATACGAATTATTCTGACTTGGATCAATCTAATCAACGATCTTTACGATCATATTGTATAAATAATATGACCGTGATATTGTGATAGCTCGTGAAAAATCGTCCAGTTTAAAAATATTTTATAGCAAATAATTACTTTCAGGGATATTGCACGCATTAGGAAAGGCTTGGTGTCGTCTCGCGAAGCGGACTTAAACGAACAATTGGCTCCGCATAAGCATGTCTTATTGCCGGATGTTCTTCAGGAAGAAGTAGCACGGAACGTAGGCTTTACGTCGTCAAGACAAACTTTACGTCCAACCATTGAACCACTACAACCCGTTCGAATTTACGTTGTACACGACAACATCGAGGTTATCGAGGAAGATGCAACTTATAGTCCTATGAACGATAATTCCATTTATAGTATGATATTGAAACAAACCGAACATCGAGGTTGGTACAAAAAAGTCAATATTATTTTGCGATGTAATTTTACGAGTTACTTATTATACGTCATATTTATCTATATGTATATGTATATATATATATATATATATATTATATATATAAATATATATAGGATATGTGAAACTACAACTGCAGGATGATACACCCCTATTGAAAAAAGTGATAGCGGAAGAAGAATCAAATGGTATGAAAAACGACGATGGCTTTTACAGTGACGGAGATAGCATATACGGTTCAAAATACACACGGAATAGAGGACTAGATAGGCAATCCAAAAATTCTCTTCGGTCTTCGAAGTACAATCATAGTAATTCTAACCTTTACGACGAAGATACTCTGTACGAAAAACAAAAAAGTTTTTCCCAAGAGAACATTTACGAACCGGGCAGTTCTCATGATCGAATCAAAGTCGAATCGGATCATTACAAGGTACATTCTTTGATCGAGGAAAGATCCTCTAGAGTTCCCGAACCACCTCCGAGAAACGGTTATCCGAATTGTGGAGGTCATCATTCAAGGACCAAACATTACAATAAAACGAAACTTTATTCGAACTTTAGTCGAGCAAGTAGCATCAGTTCTGGTTATAGATCCGGGAACTATGTAGTCGACAGTGATAGCGATTGTAGCTGTAATCATACTTGTAACCTCTCGCGAAGTTGCGACGATTTATATACTAGCGGTGATGTATCGAAGAATACAGAAACCGACGAAGATTCTGATATAAATCAAATACCACGGAAATGTTTCAAAAAGATCACTTACACCAGCGAGGGAAAAATATACGATCCTCTCGAGGAAAGAAGATATCCAATGAACAACAAGCAGAAAAGAATACGACAGGTTCTTAAACGTTATAATTACAACGTCTTTTATGTTAGCAGTCTTTACTTTATGAAACATTTTTTCGGAGTCTTCATCCATCAGCTAATTGACGTTTTTGGATTCGATCACGACTCGGTGGAAGATATGAAACCAGAGGGTTGTATTATTTATTACGACAAGGTAATAATATCTCACGCAACGAAACTCACCATGGTAGAACCTTACGAGATCATACCAAGTATTTGGTCCCAATGGCCCGATGATGCTAAAGAATGGTTGAATCGTCCTCGTAGTACCTGGCCCAGCGACGACGATCTTGGGGAAATAAGAAATTTGGGATGTTACATAGTACCGGAAGGATTTTCGCCTAGGAAGGGTATAAATATTTATGAAAATATTGAATGGCTATTGACGTTTCCTGCTGCCGAACGATATTTGGAAACTTGTATGACATCTGCTCAGATACAAGTTTACTTGATGGCACTGATGCTGCACAAGACATTTATAAGGCCGGTATTCGATTCTATGTTCGGACTGACGACGGCACACATCAGGAATAGACTTTTTTGGATGATAGAAGAGAATGATAGACCGAGTAAATGGCCAAATAATCGGACTGGCGAGTGTCTAATTAAATTTCTGGAATCCATGTATTATTACATCAGTCAAAACGATCCGATTCTATCGGATTATTTTATCAGAGACAGGAATCTCTTTCAAAAAATACCAAGCGAGCATCTATTACATACGCAGAAGCAGATCAAACGAATTCTCGAGAATCCAATAATGTACGTCTTTCATGCGATGGAGAACGTCAAGTATAATCAGCAATTCTTTCCTCAAATTAATTTTGGATTACTTTTAAACATTCTTACCGCCAATGTCTTGACGTTGATTAATCCGGCCCTTACCGGATATGTTCACAAACCTATGTCCAAGTCGACCGAGGACGAGTATAGTACGACAAAGAGCGGTAAACCTATATACACGGATACCCGACCTGGTGGTTTTTGGGTGAATGCCAAAAATTTAAGCCGGACCGAGGATGAGCAGAAGATCTATGCTAATAGACCGACGGTGACTAACAAAACGCTGATAAATCCGCGTAAGGCAACGGATTCGGTTATCGAAATTTCGGTAAGTATTCTTCCAAAGTGTTTATATTTTTCTTTATTTTTTGTTATTTATTATTTTCCAAGAAAAAAATTTTCCTTTTTTCAGGTACGATGTGCCGATTTGGAAGGCATAAGGCTATGCGCATTATTAGACTTTTTCATCAGTCACTTCATTAAAATGGGCGAACGTTTTCATCAATATCGTGCTATCCAACAAAAGATGATGTATTTAGATCAGGCAGATCGACTCTCTATTCTTCTTTGCGAACATCCAAGATGGAAGGAAGATGCTAAAGCATATCGCGATAAAATTAGGGTCCTTAGAAAACGGCAGGATTATAAATTGGCCGAAAATGTTCCACAGCAAAAGCCAATTAGAAATGTTGAAGAGTCAATTTTTGCTGTGCCGTTGAAAAATCGTTTTACTAAAGAATCTCTAGAAAAATTACCACCTGTTGCGAACGAAGCGAAGCAATCGGACATAAAGGATCATACGTATGATTCTGCGTCGGTAACGAAAGCAATGATTGAGGAGAGACCACGTACACCTCCTTCATCCAGAATAAATCGCGCAGCGACACAGACTCCTCCAGTACCTATCCCAACGGATAAAGTATCCAGTCCGACAAGGCGAGTACCTAATCCAGTGGACAAAGTAACCAATCCGACTAGGCGAGTAACTAGTCCAGTAAACAAAATATCCAATCCGACTAGGCAAATACCTAGTCCAATAAACAAATTACCTAGTCCGACTAGCCGAATACCTAGTCCAACAAACAAAATGTCCGGTCCGATTATGGAAGTATCTTCTCCGACAATGAAAGTTCAAAATGATCGGGAAAGTTTAAACTCATCGGTGCCAATAAGGGATAAACAAGAAAAATCGACGCACAGAGTTTTATCGCTCGTAGAAAATGAAAACGATTCGTTCTTGTCCGAGACAACTTATATTTGAATTAGTTTGAATTCTCTTTAAAACAGTGTTCCTACATATATGTATGTATACCTAGTGTTAAATAGTTAAAGGACTAAAGGAAAGTAAACGTAAACGCAAACGTATTTGAAATTGATGCGAGCCCTTATTTGATATTTATTGTTTTTAGATTATTTTGTAAAGTACGTGCGTTTCAACGAAGGACAAATACTCGACGAATACTTTTCGATATTTGAGAGAACAGTTACGATGAAACAGATTCGATGTAGCATTAACTGTATAAAGTATCCATTTTAATTCGAATGCAATAGGCATAAGACAACTTGCTATAATTAATTCTGTATTATTTTAACAATTAAAGTAATAGAAATGGAAAATAATAATTTCAATTTATAATGAAAAGATTGTTTCAATAAGAAGTTCTTCATATTTTGTGATAAAATATGAAGAATTTATCGTATATATGTGTATACATAACAATTACCACAAAATGAAATACATTTGTAAAACTTCTAGGTATTTCTAAAAGCAATCTTTGTTATGGCTATGATCGTGTGTATGCATATATATATATATATATATATATATATATATATATACATACATATACACACATATATATATATATATATATATACACACGAGATGTAAATAAATATTTTTCATCTATCATTAAAGAATAAGATCAATCAAAAATACTAGTTATAAATAAATTTTTTATCTACATACCTCGACACCGTGTTCAGTATAAAAGTCAGCTGTGCCCATGCTAGCATATAACTTATAACCCATTTTGTGGAGACTTCTAATAGCAGGTAATAATTCCATTTTATGCTGCAATAAGTATTCGTTTACTATTAGTCATATTTTTTTTTTTATATATTTCTCTCTGAAAGATATACGAAATATTATAAACTTACTTTAAAACTTCCTATTGAGAGTAAGATTCCTTTCTGCGGAATATGAAAACCGGTACTCATCATTCCTTTAAGATACGCCTCGTAACGATTCTCTCCGAAGCAAGCAACTTCTCCTGTTGATACCATTTCAACGCCCAACATGACATCGGCACCTATAAACCGTAAATAATAAAATATGATCATATCGTGCTTTATTTTCATTAAAAATATTTCTTGGAGTCAATATTGACCTGCGAGGCGTGAGAATGAAAATTGTGGAACTTTTACACCGACTTTTCCACATCCAGCTAGAACGTCAACAGGATCGATTGATTCGCCGATTATCAATCGCGTAGCCATCGCAACAAAATCGTGATCCAAGGTTTTCGAAACGAAGGGAAACGATCTTGATACTCGTACGTTGCATTCTATAACTTTCAACTCATTGTCCTAAGGAAAAATAAACGAAATAAAACGATATATATATATATATATATATATATATATATATGCTATATATTTCAATTTGATTACCTTAGCGATTAATTGCATGTTAAAGGGACCAGTTACTCCTAAAGACGCCGCAATAGCTTTGGAAATGGACTTGATTTTTGTCAGAGTTTCTGAATTGATATCTTGTGGGGGAGTTACGAGAGTGGCATCACCTGAATGTACACCAGCGTTTTCGACGTGTTCAGAAACAGCCATGCAAAGAATCACCCCATCGTATGCGACAGCATCGACATCGATCTCCTTTGCTTCCAATATGAACTTCGATATTACGACGGGATGTTCTTTACTGACCTCGCTGGCACTTTTCAAATAAGATTCTAGATCTTGATTGGAGTGTGCCACGTTCATAGCAGCCCCGCTTAAAACGTAAGATGGCCGTACCAGACAAGGATAACCAACTTCTTCGCAAAATTCAATGGCAGATTTAAGATTCGTTAACTCCTTCCATCTCGGTTGTGAAATTCCTATTCCATCCAACATACGAGAAAACTTAAAACGATTTTCTGCCCCGTCCACGGATTCCGGTGATGTTCCAAGTATTCTAGCTTGTTGCCTGTGAAGATTCATAGCTATATTATTTGGCAATTGTCCACCCATGGACAGAATTATTCCTTCTGGACACTCGTAATCGTATATGTCCATTACTACTTCGAATGTGATCTCTTCGAAATATAGACGATCGCTCATGTCATAATCTGTACTGACTGTCTCTGGATTATAATTAACCATAATAGTTTTACGATCCAAATTTCGTAGTTCGCGCAGACAACTTACCGCGCACCAATCGAATTCTACGGAACTACCGATTCTATATACTCCAGATCCTAGAAAAATTCATATAATTAATAAAATCGTTAATTAAACGATGAATAATAATTTATGGGTATATTTTTTACCTATAACCATCGTGTAACCACCAGGGAATTCTACGTCATGTGTAGTACCATTGTACGTTAAATAAAGATAATTCGTAGTCGCTGGCCATTCCGCAGCAACCGTATCTATCTGTTTAACCATAGGTTTGATGTTACTTTCTTGTCTTTGTATACGTACGGCTAATTCAGAACTCTTCACTACAGTGGCTATTTGTTTGTCCGAAAATCCAATTTGTTTTGCACGTAATAATACATCGTGTGACAATTTCGTATGATCGATACTCTCCAAAACTGAATAGTAATCGATAATGTTTTTCATCTTTTGTAGAAACCAACGATCTATTTTGGTGAGTTCGTAAAGTCGATCTAAAGAATATCCAGCTTTTATAGATGCAGCCAAGACAAACATTCTCTTGTCCGTTGGTTTTTCTAATTCTTCGTCATTGACAAATTTGATATACGGATCGAAACCATTCACATTTTCGTCGACCATTCTCAAAGCCTTTTGGAAAGCTTCCTCGAACTTACGACCAATCGCCATTACTTCTCCCACGCTTTTCATTGAACTACCGATCTAAAAGAAAAAAAAAGCAACCAAATATTTATAAAAAAAAGGGGAAAAACAAAAGAAATTAAATAATAGATAAACAAGTCAAGATTATGACAAGAATGATAAGAAATCAGACCTTTGTGCTGACTCTGTGGAATTTACTGAGATCCCATCTCGGTATTTTTACAACACAATAGTCCAAACTGGGCTCAAAACAAGCGGTTGTTTGTCCAGTGACCGAATTACGAATATCTGGCAAAGGAATACCCAGTGCCAACTTGGCAGCTACATAAGCAAGAGGATAACCAGTAGCTTTACTAGCCAAAGCAGAACTTCTCGATAGCCTGGCGTTCACTTCAATGATGTAATACTCCTCGGTGTTTGGATTCAAAGCATATTGAATATTACATTCTCCTATGATTCCAAAATGTCTTATCACGTTGATAGCCGTTGTTCGAAGCATGTTGTATTCTCGATTCGATAGGGTTTGACTTGGTGCCACAACAATGGATTCTCCCGTGTGAATTCCAAGAGGATCAACGTTTTCCATGTTACAAACAGTAATACAATTGTCGTAAGCATCTCGTACAACTTCGTACTCGACTTCCTTCCAACCTTTCAAAGATTTGTCTATGATCAGTTGATTGGACTGAGCAAGAGCCTGTTGAGCTAGAATTTTCAATTCTTCTTTTGTATTTGCGAATCCCGATCCAAGACCACCGAGAGAAAATGCTGCTCTTGCCATAACAGGATAACCAAGTTTCTCCGCCGCTTCTAAAGCCTTATTAAAAAAAAGAATAAAAAAAAAAAAAAATTATTCAATGAATCAGTTTTCTTATTTAAATGTAAATGCGATCAAATATTGTTTATCGTATACAATTTACCTCTTGAATGGAATATACTGCCGCACTTGGTGCGACCTTTTCGTGAATCTCACCGATACGTTCTGCGAATATCTTTCTATCTTCCGTCTGTATAATGGATTCGATTGGTGTTCCTAAAATCTTAACATTGTACTTTTCGAACACGCCGGTCTTTTCTAATTCTACACCACAATTCAGGGCAGTTTGTCCACCAAAAGTTAAAAGTACACCATCTGGTCTTTCTGAACGTATTACCTATATAATAAATATTCCCATTAATGAATTAATAACAAACACGTACAATATTTAAAGATAAACGTATTTTTACTCACTTGTTCAACATATTCTGCAATAATCGGTAAGAAGTAAACCTTATCTGCCATCCCCTTGGTAGTTTGCACAGTTGCGATATTAGGATTAATGAGAAGCGTTTGAATGCATTCTTCTTGCAATGCTTTAATCGCTTGAGATCCAGAATAATCGAATTCACCAGCTTGACCAATGCTAAGGCCTCCGGATCCTAAAATAAGTACCTTCTTCGGGCGAAATTCATCGATCGATTTAGACGATTCGAATCTCAACTTCTGAATAAGTCTATCTTTTACAGATATTCGAGGATGACCGTCCATGTTGTCTATTACAGTCTCCAGAAAGATGTCAAAAAGGCATTCTAAATCCTGTGGACCGGCAGTATGTTCCGGATGGAATTGTACAGAAAAATATGGTAACGTCGAATGGACGATACCTTCGTTACTCTTATCGTTTGTGTTTGTAAAAAGTGCTTCCCAATCGTTAGGTAATTGACTAGCATCAACAGCATATCCATGATTTTGTGAAGTCATATAGCAACGTCCTGTTCCGTGATGCGTTGCAGGTTGATTATGCCCACGATTACCATAACTATGGGTATATGCAAATGATAACATGATGTTAAAAAGAAAATCACAGTTCACTAGATTGTAGATATATTTCATTTTTGATCGTGTCAGTCTTCAATTTTATAAAACGTTACGATGCAACAGGTGGATTCAACATACCTCATTTTATAAGTGGTACAACCAGCAGCGATTGAAAGCAACTGGTGTCCCAGGCATATACCAAAAATTGGCCTTTTTTTTGTATTCGCCAAGATCGAAGAAAGATTCTCGATGGTAGTTTTGCAAGTACTTGGATCACCAGGTCCATTGCTTAAGAACAGACCGTCGTATTCGGCTGTTTTCAAGTCGTAATTCCATGGGACAACGTCCACTCGGGCACCACGATTTAATAAACGTCTCAATTGATTGTATTTTAATCCACAATCGACGACGCATATACGAGGCGATCCATTAGGATTGTACGTCCTTGGTGATACCTAAAATACAATCATATATCAGGGGCTTTGTTTAACACAAAAAAATAAAAATAAAACAAGAAATAACATATTAAAAAAAAATAACAAGGATTCGAACTTACACGGGAAACCTCTGCAACGAGATTTCTTTTATTAGGATCTGTCAACGGTGATTGAAGAGGCGAGATATTAGAAAAAGGGGGCTGTCCTAAGACGATCCTACCCAAAATGGAACCCTTCTCACGAATAATCTTTGTAAGGGCCCTAGTATCGACTTCGTATATACCTGGAACTATTTGTTCTTCCAACCATTGAGAAAGATTTTTTGTTTGACGCCAATGAC